TGGATATTTTGAATACATCGTCATGCCTTTTGGACTTACAAATGCACCAGCAGCTTTTCAACATCTAATGAATGATGTTTTTCGAGAGTTTTTGGATGATTTTGTGGTCTGTTATTTAGACAACATCTTGATCTATTCTAAGAATCCAGAAGAACATGAACTTCATGTTCGTCATGTGTTACAAAAATTAAGAGATGCACGACTCTATGCCAAGATAGATAAGTGTGTTCGACACTACTCAAGTCGATTTCTTAGGTTACATCATTTCAAATGATGGACTTATGACGGATCCTAAGAAAGTTCAAACTATTATAGACTGGAAGATCCCGAAAACGGTAAGAGATGTCCAATGTTTTTTGGGATTTGCCAACTACTATCGGATCTTCATCAAAGACTTTTCTAGAGTTGCACCTCCCCTTACACATTTGACTTGTAAAGACAAACTCCAATGGAATCAAGAAGCGGAAGTTGCTTTTGAATCTTTGAAGACAACGTTTGTTTCTGCACCAATCTTGTATCGTGTTGATTTTTTCAAAGCATTCTTTATGAAAACAGATGCATCGGACTTTGCTTTGGGTGCGGTTTTATCACAAATGGAAACACATGACAAACTTCATCCAGTAGCCTTTCATTCAAGAAAATTCTCAGTAGCAGAAATCAATTATGAGATCCATGACAAAGAACTTCTTGCAATTGTGGATTCTTTTCAAGAATGGCGTCATTATCTAGAAGGCACCTCCAGTCCAGTCACCGTGTATACGGATCACAAGAACCTCGAATATTTTATGTCAACACGCGTATTAAATTGTCGCCAAGCTCGTTGGAACATGTCTTTATCAAGATTCGAGTTCATCATCACTTATCGGCTAGAAAAACAACAAGGTTTGTCGGATGCCTTGTCTAGACGTTCTTATCTTGCACCAAAAGAAGGAGATGCAACTTTTGAGCAACAAAGAACGGTTCTCTTGAAGCCGGAGCAATTTTATCTTCGAGCAATAAAATCAACATTGACTGTTGATTTAACTTTTCTTAAGCAAGTCCAGTTAAGTATGTCTTCAAACCCTTTTGTTCATGATATCAAGAATAGTTCTTCTAAATCTCATGATCCCTCTAAATTTGAATTCAAAAACAATCTACTCTATTTCGAAGGACGCCTATATGTTCCAAAAGGAGAAGCACGTTTACGTGTTCTTCAAGCTCGTCTCGACTTCCCAACAGCAGGATATTTTGGATATAATAAGACTTTAGAACTGATATCTAGGGATTTTTGGTGGTCTCAAATGTGGAAGGTAGTTAAAGATTTTGTACAATCATGTGATGTTTGCTCAAGATCAAAAACTCCTCGTCATCGACCTTTTGGACTTCTTCAGCCATTACCCATCCTAGAACAACCATGGTCTTCTGTTTCTATGGACTTCATCATGGAACTTCCAATCTCAGGTTCTTATGACTCTACATTCGTGATAGTAGATCGTTTTATCAAGATGGCACATTTTGTACCATGTACAAAATCTATCACAGGTGAAGAAATAGCTAAGTTCTTTCTTGACAATATCTATCGCTATCATGGATTACCCAAGGATATTATATCAAATAGGCGAACTCAATTTGTATCAAGATTTTGGCGAACTCTTTTCAAGATTTCTAAAGTGGATATAAAACTATCTTTGGCATTCCATCCTCAAACTGATGGACAAACGGAGCTTGTTAATCAAGTTTTGGAGCAATATTTAAGATGTACCATTAATTACCAACAAGATGATTGGACAACTCTTTTGCCATTGGCAGAGTTTGCTTACAATAACACGGTACATTCTTCTACAAAATAAACACCTTTCTTTGCTAATTATGATTATCATCCACGACTTGATACTTTTGACTTTTCAAAAGTTGATAATCGTGCTGCGAAAGATTTGGCAATTCATTTATCAGAGCTACATGCAACGATGAAGGCACAGTTAAAAGAGGCTCAAGAACAACAAAAAGGTCAATGCGGATGTCTATCAAAAGAAACAACCATCATTCGTCTTGGGTGATAAGGTATGGCTACTTTGTCGCAATATCAAGACTACTCGTCTTTGTGACAAGTTGGACTATCGAAGGGTAGGACCATTTTCTATTTTTGCACAAATCAATCGAGTTTCATATCATTTACATCTACTGGAGTCAATGAAAATCCATCTAGTATTCCACGTGTCTCTTCTTGAACCATACAAGACAGTGGACATACCAAGAAGACGACAAGTTCCACCTCCTCCTATAGAAGTGGACAATAATGAAGAGTTTGAAGTAGAAGAAGTCTTAGATTTAAGGCGGCGCCGAAATAAATTAGAATATCTTGTACATTGGCGTGGATATGGTATTAATGAATGCACATGGGAGCCAATAAAGAATCTTGCAAATGCAGCAAAGGCGGTGGAGGCTTTTCATCGACGACATCCATCAAAATCAAGATGAAAACCTTCTTTATAAAAGAAACAACATCTAGGCAAGATAACATTCTACTTTCAATTCTTGTTCGTAGCTTCTTTGTAGTAGTGATGCTCAAGAGATGGAGAACCAACAACCAACAGATTCGACTCAAGAGCCTTCATTTACTGACCTGCCGGACGAGACATTACGATTGTCACAACCTTCAAGACGATGCAATCGAGATGAAGATCTTCAAGAACGACATGTTCTTCTTTGAATAGATGGAGAGATACAACGCATTTGGTATCACGATTTGGGAAGGAACTCCCAATGTTTGGTGATTGTACTAGAGGTAGGAACAATTCCTGATGGTGTTCCAAATATTCTATTCGAAGGAAGTTACGAAGGCCTCAACAATGATCAAATAACTGGGTGGTCTTCCCGCCTTGATATGGGACACTACTAATGGTTGAGAGGCCCTATCAATCATCTTCGAAGAGAACAAAGATCAGAGTATGTGGCGAATACAATTCGTCGCATTATAGATTTCCTCGACATATGATGACCGCTCCTCGTGGAACTCGTCCCTAGAAGGAGGGGTAATGTCACGGACATAATCATGTAAGCTAGTAATTACATATACAAATAGGTAGAAGTAAGTAAAAGTAGGTAAAAGTAAGTAAATTCTATAGTATTTAATATAAAAGCTTCCTAGAAGCTTCATAGACGTTGCTTTGACTTCATAGGTGTCTTTGATTGACTTTTTGGATTAGAAACGTGGTCAACAAGTTGGCCATGTGCCACACATGTTGTTAACTTGAAGATCAAGCTAACTATGTGGCCCACACGTAGAAGAACTTGCTTTGTAAGCCAAGGCATGTGTCTTACAAAGTCAACACATATTGGAGGTCCTATAGAACATCGCCACGTAGCCCCTAGTTAGATAGTATATATAGAGACAAGAGTGAAGGCTTCTTCACTCTTGTCAACTCCTTTCTTGCTTCTAGTCTAGTTTCAAGGATCTCTAGTTTTCTTGTCTTTTGGCAATAGCCATTCCAGTTTCTCTTTCAATATATATCCTTGTTTATATATATTTTGTTACCTCTCTTTGAGTGAATGCTCACTTATCTGAATTATTTTTTCATCGAGTTCTTGTCCTTGATACGAAGTGGTATTAAACTTGAGTTCTATCTATAACTAAGAAATATCAAAGATGTGAGATTTTGCAATATTCTTAGAAATAATAATAATAAAAAAAACTTAAGTATCTAATTACATAAAGTATTATTTGTAATACAAGGTTTTAAAATTCTTTTAGTAATAATGTCAAACTTAAACATCTTTTTTATTCATAGATATTCTAAATATAAAGATATTAAATTTCTTTTAATAATGATAATAAACTAGAATATTTATTTATACTAAATTCAATCAAAGATCTGAGATTTTTTACTTGTATTAGTAATAATATCAAACTGTACCATCCAATTATACCAATTTGTTTTATTGTGTGATATTTCTCACTTCTTTAAGCATGATATTAATTGTGAAAAAATTCTTATTTTAATTATACCAAATAAGTAAAGTTTTTAATTCTTTTAGCAAGAATCTATTAATACTAAACTTTCTTTGAAATGTGAGGTTTTATTTTAAGGTGATGTCAAACTATAACTTTAATTATAATTTATCATTATCAAAGTTTGTAAGACTTTCTAAATCTTTTAGATAGAAAATCAAACTTTATCAATTATAACAAATATTATTAGTAAATTCTTTTAACAAAAATGATAAGCTAAAATATCTTTGTATAAATAGATATATCAAATATATAAAATTATCTAATTATTTTAGCAATAATATAAAACTTAACCATCTTTCCATGTAATGATATATAAAAAATATGAGGTATTCCGATTCCATTGGCATGTATATAGAGTTCAAATTTTTATCATATAAAGATATGTCAAAGATTTAAGCATTTCTTATTCTTTTAGAAATAATGTAAAATCTAAGTATTGTTTTGTATACAAGTATTTAAAATATATTACGTTGTTTAATTTTTTTAGCATCAATATCAAAATTAAGCATTTATTCAAATTCAATTCAATTAAACATATAAGGTGTATTTCTTTTGATAATACTGTTAAACTTAAGAATAATTTTACATTAAGTTTATGTAAAGATATAAAATTTTCTAATCCTCTTAGCAATGATTTTATGCATAAGCATGATTGTATATTAAAGATAAATATATATAAAAGTTTCAACTTAAATTTTAACCAACATAATAGATTATTTGCTTCAAATTAATGGCAAAGAACTAAAACTCAAGTGCTATGTAGTACTATGTGATATTCCAAGTAATCACAATCTAGGTGGTAAACTATGAAGAAAAAATTTAAAGTAACATTTCAAATGTGCACCTTATATTCGTTAATTAATACAACTTGCAATTTCAAAATTGTGAAAGCTCGATTCTACGAGAGATTACGATGTCTCTTTCAGGGACAAACCTAAAAAAATATTTTAATGACTCTACTCAAGCTCTAATCAGGAGGTCATGTTCATTCTCACTTACCCTAATCAAGTTCTTGCTGAATGAAAATGTGATTTAGTGAATATATTTCTAGGCATAAATATGGAGCTAATGAGTTCATATACAAACATGAAGTTCACGTGATATAAAAGTTCCCGCTAATATAATGCCAGACCTTCCTGTGTCTACCAATTGCAGCGACATAATCACCTTTGCCAGACTGGAAGCCTAAAATTTTCGTAGAAAATACTAGGTCAGGTCACATTTTATGATCCCGTGTAAACATTTTTGTAGTAGTTTGCCTAATGATTTAACCACTTCGCGTGAGATAAATTAGCTCCTCCCTGCAAAACTCAAATACGTCATTCTTAGAATCAGCTTTGTGCATGTTAAAAAAGGAACACATTGACGTACCAACTGGTTCTCAGCACTTTCCAGTATCAAGATAAATCTACAACCTTGGCACTAGTGATCTCAGCTGGTGACGGGTTTAAGAACTGCATGCACTTCCAATAGAAGATTTGCAGTAATAATTCCAATACAACTATTAAAATTCAGCCTCATTAGGGTCAGTTCAAGAACACTTTTAGGTCTGCCAGAAATTGTATCGTGAAAATGGCTGAATTTCAAATTATTACAATGAAGTACAAACACAAAGATTTCATTTATACGTTATGAGAAAAAAGCAACTAAGACAGAATTAACATACCCGAATTCAGCCTCCAGGTTCCGTGGTCTACAAACATCGGTAGCCTCTAGATTGATATAGCTCGACGTGTCTAATGCGCCTTCATTCTCGGCAAAAAGCCTCTGAAGTTGTTCCTGAATGGAAGTCCTCAGACTCGATGCTTCAATAGGAAAAAACCATTGACGACCAAACTAGCAAAAATAACGTCAAAATGAGTGTTAGGAAATTATTTTCACTACTAAATTGCAGTTCGGTATCCAAGAGAACACTGCTCATGTTGTCGACACAAGAAGGGCTCAAGAAGCACACTAATCACAATTCGTCCTGGGCTTGTGGACCCGAGAGCATAAGGTGCTGGATCGACAAAATTGACTACACATAAAAAAAAAAATTTAACTCATGGAATGTGAGGTTGAAGAACGTCTTCCAAGGCAGGTAAACTAAAAAAAATCAGAAGCTGCAAAGCAGCATGATTATAGCCCGGCTGGGTCCAAATGTGAACGCTATGACAGCAGTCTAACTAGAAACATGATAAACAGAATTCATGAGGAAACTCACCAACCCTAAATCTTCTAATCTCTCCTCCACGTCGCTTACTTTCATTGTACTAGGAGCACTTTCCACAAATTTTCGTATGTAGTGCAGGAGGAAAAGCCCACAGTCTGACTCATTCTCTTGAAGTGGTACCTGTGATCAACCCATATGAATCAGGTCTATTCATGCTGTCGCATACGAGAACAAGAAAAGTTTTCAATGGACACGTTCATTCTATTTACAAACTATTACCCACAAACGACTAAACACAAGAAATCCAACAAAGATAACCAAGCAGAAGTATCCATGAAAAATCGATTACAAGCGCCTTTCTGAAGTTTTCAATTAGAAGTTAAGGAAACCAAGCACAATTCTGCGACGGATAAGAGGAAAAATCGAGATCTCAAACGTAAGTTTCACGCTATAACAGATGTTAATTTGAAACGGATGAGCAACTTATGTTTTATTGTTTTTGTAGTTAATACTATCGATTCTGCTTCAAGCAGTCACAGCCTATTTCAATAAAAACCGAGGATCAAACATGCAGCCAGTTCTAGTGCCAAATAAGAGTCGGCATCAAAATATAACCTATCAATAGGTAAAGATAACATACCGGCACTTTCCTGCCTGGAATTTCATTACATGTAAATGAGTCGATATTATCATTCTCTTTAGATTCGATTCCCCCAAAAGTATCTTTCCACTCAGCCACAAGATACCTGCTATCAACAGAGGCAAGTTATCATATCTCCAAAAAAGTTACACAATCAGTAAACCTCACACTCTGTTTTTGTGAAGTTTGAGAAATTTTAGGCTTCACTTGATAATTCTATACAAGATCCGGTTCACATTGAATAAAGAGAGCTTGATAGGCATCTAGATCAAATACTTGCAAAAGCAGCACGGTTTTCAAATGTATTCCTTAATTACGCTGCAGAATTCTTCATCCTTGCATGAAGGACTCTACCAATATGATTTCAATGCTGCACTTGCTTGCTCAATAAAATAACATGCACGTGGGTCTAACCTACGAAGCAAACGAAATACTGAAAGACTCTCGTGCCCACAAGTCATAGAATCAAGATGCAAAATGCAGCGCTCACTGCGACTAGCACTGCCAGGTCCGTGATTGGGAAAGCAAATGATTGCTAGACTCCAATGCAACCTGCATTACAAGAACAGTTAATTCAAAGATCGTCAAACGGTTTGACATAGAGATCATCTAATATGTCATAGTCCTTCTCTGTGTTCGGAATCCTCAAACGGGCAATCTTACATCAAATAAAACGTGATAGCATCAAAAACTACACAAAAACCATTTTGATCTTAGAACACCTTTCACTGAACAGAGTTAAATGCGGAGAAACTTATGCTTGCCTGTCATGAACTGGAATAATTAGAAAATCTTTGTCGAAAATGTTAATGCCTCTTGTCCACTTTCGTACCTTAGAAAAGCCAGGATTTTTTTTCTTCTTCTGAACAGGCGAAACCAGCTGTCAGCGTCAATGCTTGAAGGAAAATGGAGATCAAAATGATTACTGAAGATCTAGTGGATAACTGCAATAGGAACTGAACTTGCTTCGGTGAAGACGAAAGCTTTGAAACAAAAACCAACAAGGCATGGACAAATGATTCGGAAGGGAACCTGAAACTCAAGAGCACAACACAAATACATGTAAGTCACCCTCATACAATTGAGTTCTCCCAGCATACCTTCGGGCATACCTTCTTACCAACAACATCACTTAATTTTTTATAAAAGAAGCTATTGAAGAAGTAAAAACGTCGACCACTTTCCGGATTCAGGAACTCCATCTGAATATACCTGTGCAAATGCTAAGAATGAGACACACGCTTTTAATGTTTACCTTTAAAATGATCAAAGAAACTTCCAAACAATGATCACTAGAATTTGGCTACCATAGCCGAGTTGGTTTAATTAAGTGCTTGATTGCAAGGCCTATCATGCCTAAACTAAGGAGTAAACTGATAATTTGAAACTAATCCTCTCATCCAGAATCGAATTGCATTGATCGTACTTGATATAGAAGTCAATAATCGTGTCATTCAAAAATTCCAACGGTTCCAGTCGTTGAATATCCGAAGCCAAAATTTCTACTGCCTCTGGATCAGTCCTGCATCACAACATAATTAAGCCGCAATCTTCATTAGCATATGTGCCGGTATTCACAACTTCACATTTAAAGGTCTGCAAACACACCAACATGCAGTTCTCCAGTTTCTAAAACAGATAAGACAGCCATAATATTCATAGCGACGCAATCATGAAGGATCCCCATAAGATGGTGTACCTGGATGGATATGCGATTTTGGAGTCCTCCATCCTGCATGACATAGCACAAATTAGACCACGTAAAAACAACACAGTTGGCTGCATTGAAACCAAAAGCTGGTACTTCTGCAAAAGATGCTTGTTAATATCTTTCAAATTAAGATCTGATTTGCAGTGGCTACAAAATTTACCTACCACTACAGCAACACAATGAGTAACAGAATCACGTAGAACTCCTGCTAATAAGAATAAGTATTATCAACACTCGACACGTCACATTGTTCACAACCACAAATGACAGGATAGATGATAGATAGAAGTAGAAAAGAGAACAAAATGAAATGATAATATATTTAGGTTAAATAATTCAAGTCACCATTTCGCTACAGATCGCAAGCCAGATTGGCATCGGTTGACTGCTGGACCAGTGGCGTTTGCTGCTCCCTCCTCTTCATCAGAAGAATCAATCTCAAAAGCAGTATCCTGACGGTGACAAATAAACCAGATGTGTTTATCATTCAAGTGTACTCGAGTTCACAACTTCACATATAAGGATCTGCACCGAGGGGTTGGGAAAAAGAAGTATTTATCTCGAATTCAACCAACAGACATAAAGACAAGACCAAATTGATGTAGGATTCTCTACAACTAATCATTCCACAACCAAAATACAATACATGTGAAGGTGCATGAAGCTTAACATTCAGAAACAACTCTCAGAAGTCATCAATTTTTCATTGTGCAGTAGTGGGCCATGGATTTCTTACGGGGGTTCTCCCTATAGCTTCCTGTATGTGATTCTCTTGCTTTGGACCAGTAATAGGTGACTTTACAGCGCAAGCCTGCAATTGGTGTAAAGAAGTCTTAAAGATAGCAAGTCGTATATAAAATAGAGGGTAGCTTCGGATCACTCATTCAGTCACGAGAAGCAGAGGACCAGAAGCACAGCATGAGATATCATAATTCGCTCCAATTTTATGGATTGATCAAAAACCAACCTAAACTTTTGAAACGAAATGCAGGCAAGTATTCATGAACTTGCACAATCTAGGCTGCAGTATAGTCCTACGTCATCGAAAAAGACAAAGATTACACATAAATTTCCAGCAACTTGTTATGATGCCTCCTCAAAACAATTGTCCAACCTGAAAGTTAGAGCTTAAAGAAAAAGAAAGGTCCGCAGATTTCTTCTTTCTCCTGCATTTATAAAATAGAGTCAAATATTGCTACACAAATCTATTAAATAGATTTTTTTTGGAAATCAATTGTAATCAAGGTATTTTATTTAAAATACAATAACCTCACACCTATATAAACCTCATTTAGGACAACTGCTATGCAAAAACTCGGTTGCTTCAAGTAGGTGCAGCAAAATCGACGTAACAGGGTATATGACAAAGCACAAGTTAAGTTCATTCATTTCAGAACAAGACAAAAAATTCTTTGGAACACAGATATAATGAAAAAAAATTAAAATAGAAAAGGAGAGAACTCACCAGCAAGCAGAACACATGAACGGAGTATTTCGAGGAGAACTGGACAGGTTAGAAAACTTCCTATAACATATACTGCAACACCTTAGTTGGTCAGCTCGAATTGGCCTAGCAGACTTGCCGCGAAATACTTCTAATTTCTCTCCTATCGATGCAGAGCTTGTGTGTAAGAGATTTACTGGTGACGATGGAGTTGGTAAACTTGGGGTATTGAGATCTGGGATAGCCGTCAAGGACATCCACTTACTGACAGAAGAACGAGTGCTCAACCCCGTGCAAACGCTACTCTGTATTTCTGGCCTTGTTCTTAGACCATCCACATCTCTGTACGGGCTATTTAAGCTGACAAAACCTGTGAATATCAAACAATACATATCAGTATTGAGGATGAACTTGGGCAATTCTACAGAAGAACAAGATCACACTGAAAATCCAAATGAAAACTGACAACGTTATTCGTGTCTAATGTAATATGTTTGTGTTGCAACCGTGAATTGTTCAGACCGTTTCCAATGTTGTGTGAACACGAATACAATCCCACATTGCTTCGAATGAATTTAACGGGCCTAATGTTCATGATTAGAATCAGTCACAATCGTCAGTACAGTAACTGTACAGTCAATGCTATTTTTGAACCAAAGATACGCATCAGATGCTCCATTTCCTTTGCAACACCAGAATACGTGAATGTCTCGTACCTTGACAATCGTTGCCAGGATCGTTTTGTGCAGCTGAAGCGGCCTGGAACAAGACATGTCGAAATTGAGGTTTGTAGCCTTGTGGACAGATGAACAGCAGAGCAACACTTAAAATCACCTATGAATATACTAAAACTGACTCTACGTGGCACACCATTCACAACTCTGGAGCGAACAGATCCATCATCCTGGCCAGCACTCTACGCATTGCTTGTTAAACGATGTCATAGGTCATCCAAATAAGCTTCATCTTTTCAACTACAGGTCTAAATGTCCAGGAGTTACCAACAATCGGGCAGCATTTGACATAGCAGACTAAGGCAAATAAACGTTGAGTAATTTACGGGCATCATTGTAACGCATTCCACATGCTTACCATCTGACGTGGACGGTTTTCACGTGAAGGCTTCTCTTCCTCAAGATTCTGTGGAGAGCCTTCACTTCCGTCGCCTCCACCCTTGTGATGCCTACTCTTTGTATTATGCGATTCATTCAATGAAATGTTGTTCCTTTTATCTACAGGATCAGAGAATTTGCTGCATTTTCTACGTCTTTGCCCTATGGAATCTGCGACAATGACAAGTTCAGCTGTCTCTCCGCTATCCTGAATGTCTTTCACACTGAACGTGGATGCCCTCTTGGGACGAGTCATATTTGTTTTGCAGGAACATTAAGTTCTGGTGTTGAGAAACATGGCTTGAAAGTTTAATTCTGTACTTATTAAAAGAAAGCTGAGTAACTGCAACCTGTAATATGAAGAAGAAATTCCTCGGGTAGATTAGAACGCTCTTGTCAAGTGGCCAAAAGGATCAAGCCAACAAGTCCAGAACCATTTCATTCGTTCAAAAGCAGTACGAGCTGCTGTAGCATGCGACCAATACCAAGGATGTAACAAAAGCTCGGTGTAAATGCTTCAGCCAGCAGATACAGTGCATTACTCACGAAAACCAAGCAAAACACCCCGCCAATCGATGTTTGATCGAGACTACCATCGAAATTGGAACGGCTCCAAATTCAACACTACGTGCATTCTGCACTGCAAGCCACTCTTAAACCCTGCCACTAGCGAAGAAGCATCAATCCCGAACCAAAGAAAGAATAAATAAATAAATAAAAGCAAATAGAATCGCATCCAAGAAACTCTACTTAGCCCTTCCCTGCTCCTAGTCTCCAACAATCCTCCAAGCTTCAGGACAACTTGAATTCTCCTCATCTCGCCACCTCTCCGTCTTCCTCACTTCGCCTAATCCTGAACACGCTACATTTTATAATCGAGCCAATTTAGAGAAGCCTCGAAGCGCCGGAAAAGCCCATGGGAGCAGGAATGGCAGTAAGGATTAGGGCTGAAACGCTTGGACGAAAGAGGCAAGCGGTCGCAGAGAGAGAGACAGAGAAATCTGTGTGTCAGAGAGTTCGGATTTGAGCACACGAACTTGGAAGCCGGCAAGAGAATATGCCGAACTCACGTTCTATCTATCTGTCTATCTATCTCCTCTTCACAGCTTGCGTTCTTCTTCTTCTTCATCTTCTTCTTCTTCCTCTTCACAGTTTTCAAAATCCTCCTCATTCGAAGCCTGCCAAAATTTGTTGCAGTCCGACGTGAGCGACGACGCCCTGTCTGCATCAGCGACCAAACCAACCTCCTCCCCCCCTAGATGGATGAATGTATTTATGTCCATCTCGATTCCCGAAGTTTCATTCGTCTCTCTCCTACATTCATTCGTTTAATCATCCTCTTCTCATTCATCCGTAGAATCATCTGTTGATGGCAGTTGAACAGTTATTTAATTACCACTAGTGGAAACCTATGCAGTTGGTCACAAGAAAACATTGTAAACTATGTGTTGTAGATTAACCTTGTGTTTGAAGCTTCATGTGATGTGAAATGCCATGTTGGATGCCATTCCACTATGTTTCATGTTCCACATTGAGGTGCTTCTAAACTCCATGCTTAGTGATCTTGTAGTGCTATTCTTTACAATCTGCAACAACATGCAAATTTTGATTTGTGCTTGATCAAAAGTTAGTTATTACTTCACTTTTGATAAAACTAATGAGATATGTAGCCAATTGGAGATGGTTTTTTTTTTTCATTGGTTTAACCCATTGATTTATCCCTCTTGAGTTGTTTTACTTAAGAGATGCCCCTCTTATTGCACGTATGGCTTCGTTCAATTGATTTGTATTTTCTTTTAAATCTTTTTGTGTTTTAATTGTGTAAGGTTTGGTTATAAGCAAGTGATATTTTCAAAGACAATCACATAAGGAGATTTTATTCTTATGTTGCATTACAACATTGTTGAATTACCATTTAATTTTATTTAACACCTTTTGAGTGTCCAAAATAACAGTTGGCTTGAAGCTATTTTTAAGATGTGCAATTAAATTTCAGATTTAGAGAAAAAAAATTATACTTTTAATATTATATTTCACATGATAATTTCTCTAATTAGTTTGTGTAGTATTTTATATCTAAAATTTAATCATATGGATGTTTAATTTTATTCATATTATTTCATCAAGTACAAAGTTTTGTTCATTTTGAAACACAACTAGTATCTTTATAAATGCATAAAAATCATTTAACAATTGAAATGACCAAAATGCTAAAACATAATTTCTTTATCTTTCATATAGTATTTGTTTCAGTAATGTTTTTGTAAGAATGTGATATCCATCAACTGATATTATAAGCTTGTGCTCTATGATTTTATTTTATAGAAATAAATAGTTTACATGATTTTGAAATGTTGTACAACTACTAAGTTAAACATTGTTCCAACCAAATTATTTTTAATAAAGTTTAACTAAAACATAAAAATACAATAATATATTTTTTTTCTTTATAAATTCAGATTACACATACATTACAATTACTTGTTTACAATATGAATCATGAAATATTTCAAAAATATTTATAAAACAATCACCTTTTTAAATAATTGCTTCACAAACTTGTTACAATTTGTTTTAAAAATTTCTAAAATCAAAAGTTTAAATTTTGTTATAGTAAAATAACTACTGATAATAATTTGAGTAAAATTTAATATAAATGATAATAAATAAATATAAATATATATATATATATATATATATATATATATTCAGAGATAAAAAAAATTAGTTCGATATTTTAACATAAATTTGAGAACAATTTTTCTTAAGATATTGTTTCATATCTTCTATTTTTAAAAGAAATATTTTTATTTAATTAACTTATATACATTTTTAATTATGAAAATAATTAAAAAACTATATTTCTTTATTTACCTTTACTTATTTTTACAATTACAAAATTGATCTTATATTGTATTATTTTTTAAAATGACTTCTAGAAATAAGTGATATCTAAGGTTGATTGTTCCAAAATAGAATTTTAATAAATTTTGGAAGTTTTATCATATTTGAAGAGTGTTGTTCTATTTTCTTAGAATTTGAATGCCAAAAGTAATAACAAATCAAGTAGATTAACATTATTTTGACAAAAAGGTGCACATGTTTCATCTTAATTCTTGAACTTTGAAATTTTAATATTTATGAATGTATATATGTATTTATATTATATGCCATATTTTAGGATAATACTAAATAGATCCAAGTTTTTACTAAATCGACCCATCTACCCTAACCATCATGAAAAGAAAATAATAATTTCTAGATTCATTTCTCTACTATTGGAGCTTCAATCAATAAAAACCAACCACATTTATCATAGTTATCATATTCTTCATCAAAGGTGGGTCTATTTAACATTCCTTTGTTTTTATATCATATAATGTGTTAAAGAAAAATAAAATGCAATATAATTTTGACCTCATTAATTAACCATCTTCTATCTTGTTATTCAAATACTTTTGTGTGTATGATTATTTTTTACAACAAGATGTTGCCTAGTTTTTAAGATTTAATGTCATGAGCTTGACTATTTTATTTTTTCAATTCTACATGATAAACATTAATAAATTTTGGAAAACTTTATAATTGTTCCCACAATGGTTCATGAAAATAAATAACTTATGTTAGGTAAGAATAAATTATTTATTATCAAATTATAATTATCAATAGATTTTATTTTTTTATTTTTTTTAGACTATTTATAAGTCAAATATTTTCAAGAAACTTCAAAACTACATAGACAATAATATCTAACCATAAATAAAAGAATTACTCTTAAAAAACAAACAAGTAGGAAAATAAATAAAAAAATAAAAATATGTTATATTTATATGAAAGATGATTTTGAGTAAGGATGAGTTTGGCTTTCCTTGATTAGTATTTCTTTTGCTAATTTAATTTTAATATTATTTTCTATCACTTATAAACTAATAATTATCAATAATTTCCTTTAAAACATAGACTAGCACAATTTCTACAAAAAAGATGCTTCTTCATATATTCATTTTTCTTTTTATTTTATTTTTGAAATTAAAAACTAAAAAATGGGACAAAGAGAACAATTTCAAACTCGCTGATTACTTTTAGTTCTACATAATGCTTAAATAAATTCAACTTCTAAGTTAAACATTAACTTATAAGAATGAAAAATGGACATGCATTTTCACAAAAGATACAGCAATGAGAACTTCCCATATTATATCTTTGATTGTAACAAATATACAATTGAGAAAATTAATACCAAATAATTAAACTTATAAACATCTTTCAAAAACCGTGCAACATTTAATTCGATCATTCCCTCATCTACCACCCACCAATAAGAATGTTCAAAACTCTCTGGAATCCAAGTGGAAGTTGGTTTGTTAAGGGCGTCCGTGGGAATAGGGGTACTAAAGTGACAAGGGACACCATGCAAGTCTTGTGAGGAGATATTTTTGCCTTCATTAGCGGAGCTTCACGCATTTGTTTTAGATATAGTGCGCGCTATGGAAGCTCTTTGTGCAGGAAGAATGAGGATGGGCGCTCTGTTGGTGGTGTTTTCACGTTTTCCAGATCGTGACGGAGTTTGAGGATTCGCAACTTTGTTTCTCTTAAGACGTCGCTCTTAGGAATTGTGTCGAAATCCGCTCTCCGGTTATGAAGGCTAGGTTATGAGTGATTTTTTATCGACTGCAATGTTGCGTATGAATGTGTAGCTCTTCCAATTGTGTCAGCCATGGCGAGTCGGTGCAGCAGCAAGCTGTTCACTGAGGAACAGATTCTTGCATTATCCACTTAGAGTTTCTTATTTTATCACTATTGCATCCCTCTGCTCAACTCGCCCTCCTCCGCGGTGTTCAACTAGCAGATAAGTTCTGGAGAAGCGGGAGCGTTGTCGCCATCTCCAATTCTCATGGCTGCCTCCTGCTCCTCGTCCATGGCTTGCTTCCATTACTCTATTGTCTATTCTAGGGTGTCTCCAGCGGCTGCACCGCGCCCTCGCTCGCGCCGGTTTTCGTTCTCGCCTGTTTTTCGTCTCACCACCTTTCCTGCTTCGCGGACATTATTGCAGCTGAAGTGTGCAAGTGTGCGTGCGTGTGCGATTCGTAGTGAAGTAGGTGAAATAGTCAAGGGTGAGAATGAGGGACAGTTTGTGTACACTCGAGCTAGACCTGAAGTAAGGTGGCCTCAAAGAAGTGACGGATTTGCTCAATATCGCATTACGAGAGAGTTGGGGGATGCGGATAGTTTTTCGGCTCGAGTCCTGCCAGACTGGGAGGTAGTTAGCGGCTGGGATGCAAGATTGGGAGCAACTGAAGCAACAGAAGATGACGTGGTCAGAGATGAGCAGCCATCGCTTGCTCAACGGCTTGACATGGAAAATAAATATAGGGAAAGGGAGGCGTTTCGCCAGCGGCAGAAGGGACGAATCAGGAGAATGCAGAATATGTCGAATTTGGCTCTTAGAAAAGCTAACGACTGGAATAATAGGGCCAGTAGATTGTCCACTGCGATATGTGAGCTGAACCTGGCGAGACCGATTGCTGATGTGCTGAGTACCTGGCCCGAGCAGTTAAATAATGACGAAATGTGTGTTGTGGTGAGGAACTTAGGTGAGAAGAACTGGCGACGATCAGTGGAACTTTACGGCTGGTTGAATCTTCAAAAATGGTACACTCCTAGTCCTCGTTTTCTTGCTACAGTTCTTAGCCTTCTTGGCAAGGCGAATCAACTGGAGCATGCTCGGGAGCTTTTCTTGAGGGCTGAGTCGAAAATAATGTCTTGCATTCAGGTGAGGTCGCATTACTGTCTGTAATGCTACAATTGTTTTTAACAGCATGCATTGAGTATAAGAATGAACCTGCACAGTTCTAGTATAGGAGTGCGTCAACAAACTAGCGACAGATTGCAGGGGGAAGTGCATGAGATTGTTCTTGACTGGCCCCAGCATATCGTGGATGATCTCTTGTTGATGCTCATTGCCTCTCACATACACACACACACACACACACACATATATATATATATATATATATATAATCAGTTCACTATGGAGAATACATTTTGCTATCTACCATATGATATTGCTACCATTTAGCTTTTGGTTTTCATATAACCATACCATTTCGGTACCGCTGTGAAAGCTTATTGTAGGAAGTTTTTGCAGGTTTTCAACGCAATCCTAGGTGCGTATGCGAAGCAAGGGCAATGGCAGGCAGCCCAGTATATTCTCGAGCTCATGGAGCTAAGTGGTTGTGAACCTGACATCGTTACCTTCAACACTATTGCAAGTGCTCAATGCAAGCATGGCTTACATCCTGGCATGGCATCTGCCCTCTTGAGAGAGATTGAAGCTTCGGATCTCAGACCGGATATAATAACCTACAACACGTTGTTAGGTGGATGTATCACAAATAAGAATATTACAGAAGCTTTAGAGCTTATCAAAGAAATGGAACTGCATGGAATCGATCTGAATACCTGCACCAGCTACGTTTCAGGAAAGGAATACCTACAGTTACATAAGGTAGAAAAGCCGGTTATGTCGATACTTGATGAATCTTCTCAGCAACAAGTATCTTGGAGCAAGAGTATGTCGATTTTTCCAGATCATGATCTGGTGCAGCAGGCAAGTGTCTCAAGCCATCTTCAGGAGGTTGATACAACTTCGTCAGGTTCTCTCCGCAATAGAAGCAGAAGAGAGCGAAATCCTCTGAATGTATTTGACTCAAAAAATAAAAATGTGAGCATTCATTACTTTGTCGCAGAGAGAGGAGCATCTGAGAACAGCCGACTGGTTTCCAGGAGAGAACATTTATGTGAAGGAAGATTTGAGGGAATAGTCAAATGTCTTTACATTTTCATGGTAAATCTGTGTACACGTACTAAAAGAAAGTTTTCCAGGCAGACTGAAGGATTGCGGATGGAGCAGTGCAAATGGACTGATTGTCTGCATCTTTCTTTCAATTGGAATTTATTTCAGAAAGAATCCAATCTTCCTAAAGCAAGGTCGTCCAGCATGAGATTAGGCGAGGCTGAAGGAGAGAACGTTTTCTGTGTGCAAGGAGCTGGACATATCGTACTGACAGAGAGGAGTATTTCAAAAAAGTTCTTGCAGGTCTGGCATGATTCATTACAATTCAGGTTCGAACTTGCCTCTCAAGCACTATCACGTGGTAAAACATTTTCCTAAGAAAGTGAGTTGAAGTCTTTGTTCATATGGCGGGTGCAAAAATGTTTTCTTTTATTGCGGGGTGTATCCTCCATTTCTGTAAAGATAGCTAGTTTTGGTCGTACAGAAGAAGGTACTAGTGCTTTTCTTAATTGGAAGTAAATGGTCCATGATGGGTCTTACTAAAAGGTGACACTTGCGTATTTATTTCTTCGCTGCTTGACAAGCGACATGAAATTGTCACAAGATAATCCTTAACGGGTCTGGGTTTAACTTAAGGTCGGACATTTGTGTTTTGTAATAATCATCAAAGCTTGCTGATTCATAATGTGCTGTTCTTTTGCAGGTTATTTGAATTCACTTCACTAGTTTTCCTGATTTACTTGCTGAAGCCGCAGCTCTGCTGTTCGACTGTTGCTCATATGGTCGAGAGCAACATAATGGGGTATGCCAGGTCGAATTTTAAATGGATAAAAATTGGCCTCCAATCTAGTGATTCTTGTCACATATTTGCTCCATACGCGTGTTACCTGCAAGCCGATTGGCTCTGTGGAGTTCAATCAATGTTTCAAATGATTTGCCTATTCATGCAGTGGAAGACAATTCATGTTATACATCCAGTTTTTCCAAGTTTGCAACCTCTTGGATATTGTCTACTTGTAGGTTCAAAACGACTTGACAGACACAAACTCAGCCCTCGCTCTCTATGCAATACTGCGTGGATATTAAATGACATATGCCACGTGACCACAACCAAATCTTATAAACACTTTTATTCAAGGAAGGCTCCGCAGGCAACATTTTCTGATATGGAAGAAACCTATCACTTGTCGTTGGCCTTGGGGCAAATGGATAGCTATCCTACACCAGTGCGAGCACAGGAAACTACGGGAGAAGGTGTTCAAAACGTGACTGCTTCTACATATACAAAACTCATCAATGAGTGCATGATGAACAAGGATTACTTAGCTGGGCTGAAGCATTTGGTGGGAATGGTTGATGCTGGGATTGAGCCAGGTTATATGACCTGGATCTGTGTTCTCCAGGCTTGCGGTCAATGTGCCTATCGGATTGATTTTTTAAGGCTTCTGGCAGGTTTGCGTGATGCAGGGTGCCCGCTACCACTCCGGTACAACTGTCGGATAATCACGTGTTCGTGGATTATCTTAAACCTTTTAATTACAGTTCCCTTTCAGAAGTTGTTGAGGTAGAGTTGTAGAGAGTAGGGATAGGAGTTCGCATATGTGATGTAACTCTGATTACCTGATTTCCTCATCTCGATTTCCTTCATTGGTCTTTGTGTGCAACTGTTGACGTGTCTTTCTGTGCGTTCTGAATTGTGTTCAGAGTTGTATTGGAAAGAGAGACTGCACTTCCAGATTTGGAAACTTGGTTGAGAAACCTGCAGACTATGGCAGCCGACGGTGGGCAGGGCATGGTAAATAATTTGGTGGATTCTCTTTGGGCATTCAAACTGCGTGCAACCGCTGCTCATGTTTACGATCTTGCAGTACGTCTCGACATGTACCCAAGAAATTTTTCCAGGTTTGTAGAAAAAGGAGCCTCCAGTTGCTCATTTTTATGTTCATCTCTGTGTTGTGTACTCAATACGAACAGTATCCTCACGAATTTTTCTGAGGAGTGTCATCGTTGGAAAAATTGTACGTCATTGTACAGCATGTTCTCAGAATCTTTAATGTGAGTTTTTTAATCTTTGAATCTATGCAGAGTCGAGGAGCAGAATTGGGAAGCCGACCTTCGAAATTTTTCCCCTGGAATAGCTCTAGTTGCTATGAATCGTTGGTTAATGGAGATGCAGGTTACTTCTTTGCCCTTGCAGCAGTGATATTGTCGTTATTCTCCAACTCATTGGGTAATTTTCAGCTAAAGAAAAGCAACCATGGACGTTGCCACATCAGGTCTAGCAAGTTTGTATTCGCGATTTATGTTTGTAAGTAGCACTGAGGGAAATTTTTGCCATTGTTACAGGTGGCATCCTTTGAAGGTTTCCCAGAGCCTCAAAAGGAGGTGCTCATGATAACTGGGACTCAAGGATATCAGAACGGTATTTCATTGAATAAGACCATAAGAGCTCACTTGTGGGAGATGGGATCTCCATTTTTCATGCGACCCCCACGCGAAGGTGCTTTAATAACTAAGGGTCATGCTTTACGACTGTGGCTCAAGGATTCGCCTCGTTGTTTCAATCTGGAATTGGAGGATGATGTGATGTTGCCAAGGGCGAATTCTATGACTTCCTATAAAAGTGCGTGGATGTCTAGTGACGCAGTGCCTGTAATGAAGCAGATCCACACCAGCATCGGTGAGGTTTGGCCTAGAAAATATTCAAAATTAGCACACATGAGCGAAACAAGGAGAATCGAAGCTCTTGCAGCTCGTTTAGAGGGCGAGAAGCGAAGAAAACTAGAATCTAGAGTTAAGACTACTAAGAAGAAGCCCATCAAAAAGAACCGGTCTTTTAGACCCAAGGACAGTTGAAGTTACCAGTTCCAAATTTTACCTGACATGGATGTGAGTCGAACTCTCAATATACTCGAGACTTTTTCGTTTGGATATTTCCGACTTACTTCTGTTGTTGTGATTCGAGCACTCTCCTTTCTGCACGATGCACGTGCCCAATCAACTCTCTTATTACTTATTGAAGGAAATACCGGCGGTACAAGGTCCTAAATTTACAGATCTTGTTCTGACCTACCCTTCCACACACGGGGTGTGAAATCAGTTTCTGGATCTTACTGGTGCCTCCTCATCTTTAAATGCAATTATATACGCCATTAAACATTTTACGTTGATGAATGTCGCGCAGGTTTCCTGCAATGCCGTGCGTAAACCTACAAGCAGATAGCAAGTCCCACTTGGTATCTTCAATCCACATGAAATTACTTGCGTCTCACCCATCAAAATCTTCAAACTTCACAAATTGAGGGAACGTCTGAGGGATCGCTGGGACCTCATAACGGTAAGTACATAAATCTGCATGACAAAGATATGGATTTTTCCCATTACAGGTATCTATCAGGTATCCTGATCGAGTGAGCTCCGCCACCCCAACACGATGCCATATGAGCATCTTATCTACAATGCGATCAGAAGTTACAAGATGCAATTAAGAATCTCTGTCTACACTTCGCTTCTCTTGTCGAAGGAGCTGCTGCAGGTATACAATCAACCAACCCAGTGTCACCACCCCTATTTCCAACATAGGCCTATCTAATTCCGTTAGTCCAGCCACTAGGTCTGACATCCACATTGATCGGAAAGAGGTTAAATGATGTTAGGTTGTGAACTATAAATAAAATTTATTGTACTCAGAAATGGGTATGCGTGAATTATTAATAAGTGGCAGTTGTTGATTGGTTGGGATGGAATAATAGTATAATTGGGTGCCACACTTCTTAGTTTTGTAAAAATTGGATTTTTAATTTTATTATCCACTACTGATTGGAATTATGTTGGCCTATGATTGAAATTAGGTTGCCCCATATGTCAAAAATAGGTCAAAGAAAATCTTCAGCTAAAACATTTATACAAATTCCATTTTTGGGCCAAATTGTGTGAAAACACTTGAAATCATCTTCATTTCTATTTTCCTACATGTTGGTATTTTTATTTTATTTTTACAATTATTGCAAGTATGTTGAAATGCTTAAGTTATTGGAAATGGGTTTCTAGCTTATACCCCACACAACTTCCCTATAAATAAATGGTTACGAAAAAGGGGAAAGTGGTTGTGTAAGGCTCAACACATAGATCTCCATTTCCACATAAAGATGTTTCCTCACTTGGCATCAGTACTTTAGAACCCAAATAGATTTTTTGAAGTGTAATGCCAAGAAACCCACTAATTCTATCAGATCTGAGATTTCCTCGGGATTTTCTTACGAAGATTATCTATGGGTAGCATGGGTTGAAGGAGCACCACAGCCGAACCATCGATATTTTTTTTTTTTTTTTTTTTTTTTTTTTCTGTCAATGGATTCCGGGATCATGCGCAAGAGCCACCGCCTCCACTCACCACTTGAGGAGATCGGAGGCTCGATTGGGTCGTCAGGATAGGAGGAGGAGCAACTCACTGCCGAAGCTGTTGTCAATGAATGACCCTTTGAGACCATTCCTCGACCTCTAGCCAAAATGATCCACTGGACCTGTGGTCGTCGTACCAATCCATGTTAACGTTGCGGTCCAGTTTCAAGCTCCAATACAGCCGCATCTCCATTTGACTATCGCGTCCAGTAGCGCAGACACCAGCCACTAGATCCGAACTGTGTATTGAATCAAGGTAAGAATACCAAAAAAACAACGAAACCCCTGACAGTGATTGTGAGGTATTCGGTGGATGGTGTCTTGAAACTACACCACCAGGCGAAGGGTGCGTCCGTCCTGACAGGAGATGGGCATGACTGTGTGAAAAGCATTTTGTTCACGATTCTGAACTGGGTCCAGACGCTTTGCTTGCTTGATTGCTTTCTTGCAGGGGTAGCTGCAGCTCTCTGCCTGGCCAAAAATCTCTTCGAATTTGCGGGGACGAATCAGCCGTTTACCGATGGATAGAATTGCGGAATTTGAGAACAGGCTGCTAATCATCGAAGGGAAAGACACCCATCGAACACAGCTAATCATGTGATAATGATAATAAACTAATTACAAAAGAAATTGTTATCAAAAAAAAAACCAATCATAACATTCGGATGTTCCAAATTAAAGTACCAGTTTCCAAAAATGTACCTCAGAAGTGTGACAGTGGTTTAATTCTTGGTTTTGATATTTTACAAAATTAATACGGTAAGCAACATGCAATTTAAGTTCTCATAATTAGATTAAATAATACGTGACTTTTAAATCAAGTAAACACAGTTTGTGACTACTTGATCAATGTCTTTTTGATTACTGAAGTAAATTAAAATACTTACAAGATGCTGAATTTAAAATTCGTTATTATTAAATCTGTTGTGGAACTAGCAACTACAATCAACAATCACTACACAAGAAAACAAGACTGTAGAGTATGGATCTATCAGTAAAACTGAAAATTACATTATGTCCTCATGTTGACATATATAAGACTTTGATATCTGCAAATATTCCATATAATCACAGTCTGTGAGACAATGACAATACTACGAAGGTCATCTCCTTAAAATGAACTGGAAGTGCTATGCAAAGCTTTTAAAACATGAATGAAAATACTATATAACAAAATGTATCCCGTCATATAAGAGTTCGCACATTTGATCAGAAACTACCCGTGTCTTAAAATACAAATAAATCACCTAATCAGAATCAGAATCAGAATCAGCAGTCCATGATTTATATTACAACAAGTTTACAATCAACTCGCATGGGCTGCTGATGCTTGTTCTATTCAAAACACCATCTCCTCTTCACCATGTTCTATTCGTGTACGCCCACTACCCGGTTAATTTTGACTCTTCAACGACTCTAATTCAAGTGCACAAATCAGGAAAAAAAAAATCCCTCATTCCAGTGAATGTTTTGTAGCAGACTAGCGAGCTTTCACATACTAAGCCTCCAACCAGGAATACTGAGGGAGGACATGTTCTAAACCATGTTTAGGGTTGAGTTAAAAAGGATGAGTTATCGCGAGCGATCGGTACTAAAAAGTTTATATATATATATATATATATATATATATATATATTTGCAGTGACTACTTTAGGTGCGAGTCTAAAGCGTGATTACAAATCATAATTCACGAATCTGTCATGCTATTCGGTATCTTCCTGACACTTTGATAGTGCTCAAACGTGACTGTATTCTATACCTGTGCGGTTGTTTGTAGAAGTAAAGGTTTCCAAGAGCTGAGGCCTCACCTCAACTCATGCGCAGTTGCAGCAGACACGGTAGCGATGGGAAGCGCAATGCACAACGAAAGTAGATCAATTGCCCACACTCCACACTCCAAACCTATCTCAGCCCTCTTCTCGCGTTTGGAGACAGTGCCATACACCACAAAGCGTGGAAAAAAAAGAAAAAAAACAGAGGAGGTAGGAAGCGACGACTATCTGCATCAGGGGAAAAAAGCTGCCGTAGAGCTTGCTTCCAACGGAGCTCAGTCAGGGGGATGGGAGGGGGGCGTCATCAAAAGGCGCCTCGGATCGGCATACGACAGCTCAAAAAGGAAAGACCCTCGTTGAGAGGCTTGAGGAGGCGACCCACTTTGTTTTTCTGGGTGGGAGACCTCTCGGTACCCATCTCTTGGTGTTGGCGTCCGTCTTCATACAACCCGGAAACCTCGTACACACACCGAGTGAGTGCTCTGTACCCATCCTGTCGTATCTTCTTCACACACTCCTGCAATACAATCATAACCAATCATAAAACCACCGATTGTGCAAATTCCAGAAGATATTTCAGAAGAAGCCACCGTGATAAAGATCCAGGGCCAGGGTCAGGAAGCAGGAATGCGAGCTTGGGTGGTATCCATATCCCAACCTTTCCTTTATCCTTTCCTTTCCTCTTCCCACAAGTGATGGTGCACGGTGATCCTGAGGGAAAGAGGGGGACTGAGACTACTTCAACCCCCGCTCCCACCCCCCCTCTCGCCCCACTTAATTGTCTGTGTCAAACGCGCACATGGAAATTGCACGTACTGATGCCGTTGCTGCTGCCGCAACACCAACACCAACAAACAGCAACAGCGATTCTGCACCACCACCATCCTGCTGCTGCTGTGGCAGCTCGGCGGCGGGAGAGCGGCAATCTGCGGCACCACTGGGTCCACACGTTCCCAAGCCCCGGTTCGCACGTCGGGGTCGCGGAGTTCACTTGAAACTGACATGGTTCTAATCGTTCCACTGGGGAGTTTGTCATGAGAGATGGGATTTTTAAAATAAATTACTACTACAGGAAGCGATTCTATTTAACTGTTTTGATATTGGAAATGTGAAAACTAATATATATGAGTGGTTGTGTGTGTGTGTGTGTGTGTATATATATATATATATATGGGAATCTTTGCAAATCACGAGCTTAATAGAAATTATGAATAATGTGTCATGATATTCTTTACAGTTTTGCCAAAAAAAACTCTAAGAGTATGTGTTCTAAAAATATTTATGATTGCAGCACTGTAAAAATACATTTGATAAATATATTAGCTCAATTTAAAACCAGGTATTTGGTTTTTTTGAATAAACGAAACAAACTAGTTTATTTCATATTATTTATCTTATATCTAAATCTCTATGGCCAATTTAAATTACAAAGTTATGGCACTAGGACTTATTCAAATTATTTTTCTTATCTATAATACAATTACAATTATATTTCTCTTATGCTTCTTTTTTAACCGTTTTATTAATATGTGATTGAAAAAAACCTAAAAATACATCCATGACCTCTGAAAATCATACTAAATATGCAATAAAAAGTAGTATATTTATAAAAATATTACAAAATAGGTCAACATCTAATTTGTCTTACTTTAATGTTTAAATATATGTATAGCCAATCTCATACAAATCCTTTTTATAAACATTAGCTCTATGGTTTTAGATTATAACCCAACAAATAAAATCTATTATATAAAAATTTCACCCAAGTTTTTTTAGAACAATAACAACAATTTGAATATTCAATCATCTCAAGTAGCACTCTTGGTGTCTTTTATGTAAATGATGTAACAAAGTTATTTAAAAAAATAATAATCACTGCTAACATAACTATTTTTAACAAATATAATATTTCTTTAATATACATGTGATACAATTTGACAGATATAATATTATCAATCCCTTGAGTTCTTCATTGTTATCAATTGCACTAATGCCATGTATATACATAAACAAACACAAATAAGTGGACTATCTTTTTTATTGTCATAAAATACATATTAGCTGTTTGAGTTTTGAATAAAGATAGTTATTTTTCTCTAAGATTAATATACAAATTTATTGTGTCCATGTTTATTCTATAATACAACTTGATCATCTTTACTACCTCTACTTGATATTGCCACAAATTTTGAATTTGTTATCACAGACTCTGTGGCTTTATGCATGTTATGAAAATACTAAAACAAAGACTTGTGTTTCTTAATGTTATTCATTTCAATCTAAACTAAATGTACTCTTTTGTAGAAAATATGTGTAAAAATTATTGTTTTTGTTTGACGGGTTTACTGAAAGATTTCCTTTTTCACAATTATATTTATTTGTGTGTAGTAATCAAGTTTTAAGATTTCTAAAATTGTAAATTACGAATTGCATAACAAATAAAGTGCGCTTATATTTATTTCATCTGATATAATCACTTAATTCAGTAGTATTAAATAACACATATAAATCCTATTATGCAAACAATAGACAAAATCCATGTAATGAATCAGTAATTTTTTTGAATGCAAATTGACTTCAAATATGATAATGTATCATATTTGAATAAAAGAATAAAGAGAAAAAAATGCATCTTGAAATTATGGAATTTCTAAATTTAGATAACAAATAACATGTTTCATAACAAAATGTAGTCATACAATTATTTGACAATGAAAGAAATAGATAAAACATACAATATAAAATACATATCATGGTTCTCATGTAAAAACTACTCCAAGTGATTAATTGCATAATTTTTCATTATAATATTAATAATATAAGTAAAATGAAAAAGCAGTTAATGCAATAAAAATATTTTCAGAAAAAACGAATAAAAATAAAAATAAATGTATAAAAATTATAGACATTGTTGCCTTGGTAATTAGAAATAAATAGAATTATATATATATATATATATACACTCTTTTGAGTATATCGTTTAATCCTCTGTTCTTTTTTTAGATTGACAATGGACTGTTTTAATATTTAGCTGTTCTTTAAAGCAAATAAGTTTTTTTTCGCAACAAATTCTCAATAAAACTCTACACCATACACACATTCCCAACTCCTCCACGAGTCTTAAATAAATTGCTTCACAGTGTAAAATCCTTAATATAAAAATTATTCGGTTTACACCCATTTAAAAAGTAGAAAGAAGTGAGATTTAAACCATAAATTTGGAGCAAGTAAAGGTGTGATAATTTTATGGTGTCTATTAAGCATTCCCAGGAACTATGACACGAGGATGAATGAAAAAACAAACGGAAACCTCCGACACCATTATTACATCCATCCTTGGACAGATAGAGAAGCTGAAGGAAGAAGCCTCATCACCATTCCACCCTAAAAGCAGCCACGGGATTCGAAACCACGGAGGAGGTTATTATTATTTTCCCCCCAGGCAGGCCCGTCGGCAGGGTACCGTTTCAGCCGGTGGTCCGGTCCCCCTTCCCTTCCCCGTCCCGCGCTTCCCAGCCCCCCTGCCATGAATCCAGACCCGCTGAACATGGCCAGGGCGGGTCGGGTCACTCAACCCGGGCAAAGCCCACCCGGCCCGCGGCATGCGTCCCCGTCTTTCGTCCGTCACCTTTGCTTGGAGCGCCCAGAGGGAGGGTATCGTTTCCTTTGCTTTTTCTTTTCACTGTCTTTTTCTTTTTCTTTTGTTCCCCCCACCTTCGCTTCTCCTTCGTCGCCCATCCCTTCCTCTTCCCCTTCCTTCGTCGTTGTGAGAGAGAGAGAGAGAGAGCAAACCCTGCGGGAAGCCCAACGCAAAGGAGTCCACCTTCTCGGCGTGTGAGTGAGTGAGTGAGTGAGTGAGTGTCAGTGGGTGAGAAAGAGAGAACGAGAGAGAGAGAGAGTTGAGGAACTGGCCGTGGCTGCTGCTGCGTGCTCCTCCCCCTCCTGCTCCTTTGTAACTGAGCTTGCTTGCCGTGGCTCGTGCTACACCGTCGTGTCTCCCTCCTTTCCTCTTCTTCCTTTGTTTCAGGTGGGCCGTTTGTTTACCTTGCGGATACTCTGCTTGTTGCGTTAATTGTTATGGCGTGGCTCAATTCGGTATGCTTTTTGTTTTTTATTTTCTGTTACTGTTGTTTTGTTGCCGTGAGTGGAGAGTTTCAATTCCTGGGCGTTATTTGCATGGACTTTTTTCGGTGGAGTGCGGTTGTGTTGGGGCTGGGGTTGCCTGTGTTGTGACTAGGAGGGTAGCTTTTTGTTTGTGTGTGTGTTTGTGTGTGTGTTTTTTTTTGAGTTTCTGGTTGGAAAGTGTGCTGTGACGAGGTGAGTCTAATTGCGCGCCGTGTCTGATTGTCGACGTGAATGTGATTATTGCACGTCGCGTGGAGTTTTGGAGTGAAATTCTTCTGGTTTGGGACCCTCTCGTTGGAGTGGTTTGTGTCGGGTTCTCACCTGGTTTTTGTTATGTCTTTGTCTTGGATTAGTGTGTTTGATCATGACTCTGCGCAGTCGTGTTTGTGAAGTGGGCAGTTTGGTCGCGTGTTTGGTTCGTAGGTCTTCACATCCTGGTAAATAGCAGTGTGAATGTAAGTTTGATGTATGTTGTGAGTCCTTAATGGTTGCATGATTTCACGATGCTCAAAGTGTTACCGCTTGCAATCATGTACCTTGATGATGGCCGGTTCATCAACCTTAGGTAGTACCGCACAACTGTGTCATATCATCATAAGTAACCAGGACATCGTGGTGCGTTGGACTGTTGTTTCAGAGGCAAAGCTACAACTTTCTCCGTAGTATGTTTGCGGTGTGCTGCGTTGAGTATTGTTGGAGTATGTGTCTCATTGCTGACGAGTGTGACGGGGCATGCTTGGGTTGTAATGCAGGTGTTGCATTGCTGGTGATTTGAAGGTGTTGACGGGGATGGTCGCCTAACCCGGGCGTCTGAACATCCTTGTCCCGTAGGCCCCAAGCAATCAAGATGAAGGAAGCGAAGGGCAAGAAAGGAGTCGGTGCGGTCGCGAAGAGGGACGTGAAGGAGAAGGTGACGAAGGTGCAGGATAAGTAAGTGCGAGGGGATGGTGTAGTTGTCGATGGGCGTTGCGATGAGTTGCGTTGTGTTGTGTTGTGTTGTGGCATGTAGAAATATGTGGCATCTGATGGTGTGATTTGTGGTGTGGGATGGCAGGGACATCAAGAAGAGGAAAGGGCCCGTGAAGGAGCCGAAGGGTAGGAAGGCGAAGTCGGCCAAGAAAGCGAAGGACCCGAATGCCCCGAAGCGACCGGCGACGGCTTTCTTCATTTTCTTGTGAGTAGACGTGACATGGCGGATGAGGAGGCAGGGCGGGGAGCAGTGGGAAGAGGATGTGTGTCGGGGGACTGACATGAGGTGGTTGGTGTTGGATGGAACAGGAACGAGTTCAGGGAAGTGTTCAAGAAGGAGAACCCGAACGTGAAGGGTGTGGCAGCAGTGGGAAAGGCGGGTGGAGAGAAATGGAAGTCGATGTCGGAAGCGGTGAGGATCGGGGTGGTGATGCTTGGTTGGTTGGTGGGAATGATTGGCATGTGTGTGTGTATGTAGGGGGTAGGAGAGGAGGATGCATTCAGTGTATCTGATGCGAGGGGTGGGCTTTTGTGGATGTGCAGGAGAAGCAGCCTTACGTGCTGAAGGCGGTACAGAAGAGGTCCGAGTACGAGAAGACGCTATCTGCGTACAACAAGAAACAGGTGCGTGGGTGGGGGGGACAAGTGGGTGTGGGATGTGATGGAGGATGGTGCTGTGTTTTCCGGATGGTTGTGTTGGAAAGATTTCCTGATGGTTGCGGACATGTGGAACAGGATGACGACGAGGAGGATGAGGAGGTGGAGGCTGAGGAGTCCGACAAGTCGAAGTCAGAGATCAACGACGACGAGGAAGATGAGGAGGTGTGATAGGAAGGAGTTTTTGTATTTGGTTGCGATGGTTGTTGTTTGTGAAGGGTCCGTGGCACCATGGATGCTTGGTTGGCTGAATGGATGTGTTTGTTGCAGGAGGATGAAGACCTGGAGGATTGAGTAATTTGGCTCAGGCATTTGTGAGAATCAGCGACGGCAGTCACGGGAGGAGGAGTGCAGGCGTGAGCGAGGGGCTGTCGGAACGAGCTGGTGGAGGTGTCTGTCAGTGATACGTAGGCTTTGGATGGGAGGTAGACGGGTAGGAGGTTGCGGATTTTGGGATGGTGGAGGGGAGGGGAGGGAGGATGGGGAGTAGTATTTGTGGGAGATTTATTTTGCTAGCATTCTGGTTTTTGTAAATGTGAGGGAGAGTTTGTGGGTGATTGAGCAGCGGGTGGTCAGTGGCGAAGGGCGGTGGACGAGGAGGAAGAGGGGTTGGTGTGGGTAGGGGAGGAGGAAAGAGGGGCAGGACTGGAGTTTTAGTGGGAATGCACAAGTGCAACTGTGGGATGGCCACCTGGATGTTGATGACCGACGGTCTCGTTCGTTGTGTAAAATTCTGAACATGATAATTTGTAGAAATTTTGGCTTGAAAATTGTTCGTGGATGTGACTGTGCCTGAAAATGGATGTTTTGTTCCCTTCCTGTGAATGTCCATTTGACCAGAGTGTCATGCATCGGTTTCTTTCGTCGTTGCTTCGCAGGTTGGTTGTGCTTGATTCTTGTTCGTAGATCTTCACTGCTATTGAATCGCTAGATTGCCTTCCTTGTCTTGGACTGTTTTACCAATGATCGCCGATTTTTGTTTGTAAACCTCTACCCCTCCGTGGTAGGGACTTCGAACGTCAACAAAACGGCCACGGTTTCATGTTTTGCGGACTATGAACTCAGTTGCAAACGACAAGCATTTTACACCGAAACACACTGGATTGATCACTCAGTATGAACGATAATCTACGCACTCAAAACTACAAATTTCTGTGAAATTCCTCTGGTTCGCGAAAGCACAGAAAGAGATGCTACAATGCGCGGGGACATAAAATTTGTGGCTGAAAGAAGAGAATAATTAACATTTTAAAAAAAAAAAATCGAGCTGATCAGCCCCCAAAAGGCTGTACTGCCCTTCTTTTCGTTCACATGTGTGCTCGGTGTCAAGTAAAATTACAATAAATACGACTGACGCGTGTAGATAGCCAGGCTGGGAATCCAATGCTGAAATTAGACTGCAGAAGCAAGTTGCAGCACCAGCCGTAGTTGCGAACCGGGGAGCAGCTGGGGGGTACGTTCCCAGGGTTGTTCCCTCGTCCAAGCGCAAGGTTGCGAAGAGACGTTGAGAAGGGCGGTGGAGGGACGATGGAACCTCCCTGGCGGCGTGCCGATTGGGAGTATCCGTTGAAAAAGTTGAAAACTTTGAACAATAATTAAATTATAATAAAGACATTTCTCGGAATATTCTAGTTGAAACTGAATGGAGCCTGAAGTCTAGGTTTTCATAACCAGGCGGCGACGCAACCCCCAGCTGGTAATGCATCCCGGGGAAACGGCGCGCCTTCTTCGTCAACAGCTCTCTCGATCACCCATCAACTGTGATTTTTTTTTCTTTTTTCCCCCTCTTTCGAATCTAAGCATCATCCCCGTCTCGCTGCCGCGCAACTAGCATCGGAGTGGAGGTTCCGAAACATTGCGTTGCTGGGTTCGTTCAATCGCCGACGATGCGATTATGTACTCCATCTGCACTTTATAATTTCCCCACTGATCGTTCGTCACTGGTTCACCAACGCCTTGTCGCGGTGGATTTGCTTCAGTGGTTCAATTCATGCACCAAGTTGGCACTCACTGCACGCCTTGTGGTGGAGTGTAGAATTTCGTGCTGCGATTTTTGTGGGTTCCGGGAACAGCAAGCCTGTGGAATGCGGAGGCGAGGGATCGATCAGTGGCGCCGTGCACTGGATCCGGATGAAATTGGGTTGCATTGGCATTGCGCGACCAGTGTAGAATCTTTTCTAGGGTTTCGCGGAGCGAGTCTTCCAGTTTCTAGGGTTTCGACAAGTCATGGAGTCCGTTCACACTTACTGACTGTCTTCTAGATATTTGACCAATCGTTTACTGAACGTTATGGGTCCCTTTTTCCTTTTCAACAAATAAATTGAAATAAATGTGCTTTTACTTTATGGTCTCTCTCTCTCTGTTTGTCAGGCCATACAGACACACTATATAAATAAATGTATATAATTGGTTCTACTTTTATACTCTAAAGACTTTTGTTCTGAGTAGTTGTCTGCCTTTTAAAATAGTTACTTGCCTCTATATATTTACGAAATTGGTCTGTTGAAATAAGTGTGCACATGATAAATATGTACTAGTCTAACTATCAAAACATTTGTGTATAATTATAACTGCAATCAAAACACAAGATTTAAGTGTGGTAAGACAATTTTAATATTAAGTGATTCATCCAAAATTATAGTATGTAAAGTGTAAATATCCTATTTATTGAATTTAATTTGTAGTTGAAAATTATTTATTGTAGACTTATACATATATTTAAAGTAGCACTGAAGATACACTGAAAAAATGCAAATGCACAAAACTATACATATGGAACAAGGATGACAAATAAAATACAACAACAGAGGTTTACTAAAGAAACATATAAAAGTAAAAGTTTCGAATTCATTCTGAATTAATAGAATAAGAATTGAACTAACATCATTAACTTGATATTTTAAGAATTATATTGATCTAATTATTCAGAAAAAAAAAACAAACAAACATACAAACAAAACAAAAAAAACAAAAACAAAAACAACAACAACAATTTTAGAGCTTGTGATGAAGTTTCCATTAATTTTGAGTTTTATGTGTTGAAATTTAATCATTAGATTTATTTTAAATTTCTAAAGCTTTGTTAGAATTTTCATATCAATAAATAATATGAAAAATATTTATGAAATATATATAAATATATATATATACATATATATATATATTACACAAATAACCTCTCATGTTGCAAAAAAAAATTAAAATTTTAATTAAACTGTTTAAGTGTATGTAAAAAAAATACATGAATTGTGCATAATAAAAGTGTACAAAAGACTGTACAATTAACATAAAATGTTACATATGTATACATATTTATACATACATATAGTTAATCCAATAATCAAATGTAAAAGTAAAATAATTAAAATAGAATAAAAGCACAATATAATCATTAACTGAACCATTTCTTGTATTTTTTATGAAAGTTAATGAAAAGTTAATATACTTCTCAATACAATAATATTTGGATTGTAGTGATTATGGACATCTATGATATGATGCATATGCAATCTTTTGAGTCATTGTGTTGTATTTGCTTCAATTTTGTTTCAAAGAAACTGAACACACATATTACTATACAACAAAAATAATAATCTCAAATAATTTATGGATTTAAACACGTGATGGATTACTGCACAAACTGTAATACATAAGAATAATGCATTCATTCATTCAATGTAAACTAATTCTTTAAATATGTATTATTCCGAAATAATAAAAATAAACAAAGAAAAAAAGACATGCAACAGCTTAGTTTTTTTGTCTGTTGTATTACTAGAACTTGGGTTTTGATCATGAATTAAAAGATGTATTAAATCCATTGGCAACAGATATTTTTTCAAATGTTTATTTACTACACAGTACCATTCATCAGCTTCTATTGAAACCAATTACCATTCCTTTCAAATCTTGTTACACATTACATTGTAATTTTCAAGTGTATCTTTATTTTCATATACTTCAGGTTCTTTTACAATAAGTTTCTATATATATATATATATATATATAACATTATTTGTTTGATTTTATACAATTTAGGGAAAAAATTAAAGTTGTTCACAAGGTGTATTTTCAGCCTGTCTATGTGTATGTATGTACATACGTACATATATATATGTATAATGATATCTAATTTGTAGAAAGTGTTAAAATACACAATAATCGAGATAAAAGGTATTATTGATTATTTTGTTGCATTGAATTATTAGATAGATTTGATTTTGTAAAATTACTATTATTTTATCTAACGTGTTGCAAGCAGATTATTCACTATGATCTGACTGATACAATATTTTCAATGTAATCATTCTCAACAAAGATAGGGAATCCACATTAACTGCTCAATAATTAGATTATAGCAACTTTTTTTTTTACCATATGACAAACTGTAAATGTTTTGGTTATTTTAGAAAATTCATAAATCAAATAAGATTAATACACCATGGAATATATATATATATATATATATATATATAATGATTGTATAAAGTGCCGTGCTAATTATTTTTATTCTTAAAAAAAGTATAATTTTTGTTAATTGTTTAGCACTGTGCATATTAAAAATGCAGTATGTTTACAATATGCCAATATAAATGTATATTTGAACCTTGGGATATGTTCAATCTACTTACAATATCCAATATGACAAAGGAACCCAAGTTTGTTTCAAACTAGCTGGCTACGTTGTGTGATTTTGAGATATTTGAAATCATTTTTTAGCAATATCAATGTGTACTTGAGAAACTATAGTGACATAAATATTCCAGGGTCAAGTTACTTGAATATATTTAAATGATGTAGCCATGGAAGCCAATTAATATTATTTGTAAAATAATGATTCTAATTTAGGATATTTATTAATTTGAACCCTAAGATGTAAAATTTATATTTGAGAATAGTTGAGATGGAATTGTAGATGGATATGTATATGTAACTTCTCTATAAAATCATTACTTATTAGTTTTTTTCATAAGCCACATTGATTAAGTTTCTCTAAATTGATGCATCATGTATAGTGATTACAAAAAATGGGCAATCAGAGATACAATCAATTTACGTGATACTCAAGATTAAGACTGACATGGAACTATTCTTGCGTAAAACAATTTATTCCATGCGATATCATTTTTGAAAATCTAATATTCATAAGAACGCACTTTCCATCACTGACGTGACATCGCATGCCTTCTTCATTCAAATTCCGAATTATTTTTATTTTAAAAATCCTTATGGTCCGCTACGGCAATCAAAGCAATGAAAACAACCTGGCTTTGAGGCACTGAGGCTGACTCTAAGAGTAATTGCCTCTGCTCATCACAGCAGTGGGAGTGCTGAAACCGATTCATGGTGATGGATACCTCATTCCCAGTGCTAACACAGACCTGAAACGCTCAATTCCGCTCGTCATTGGAAAGATCAAGGACTTTTTATTTATTTATTTTGATTTTAATTTTTAAAATTTTTTCGGTCATGTATTGAGAGCTGAAAGACGAGGTGATCTTTGGCAGTCCTTTTGAAAACGACAATCTGGAATAGCGTTACAGGTTGACTGTACCGAAAAATCAAGTGCATATATCTACTGAGAGGCTTCTAAAGAAAACTCGATGCGTCTCACATGCAGGAATATTCCTCCCCGTACCAAAGATTTGGCAATTAGACTAAACTCAACAACTGCATGCTCCCACAATCACTTCGACTCCAATCCACGCAACTTTAAAACCTCCAAGAGATCAACTCATCGTAAACGAGTCAACAAACAAGGAAACTCCGTCAGCTCTGTTCTAAGTGTCCAGAACTCAACGCCTCGTCCCACCACGCCAGCGCTTGATCATCCCTCGAAGAACAAACACGCCAGGCCATTGCTACCAAAGAGGAACCAAAAGCGCGCGCAATTGGAAGTTCAAATATTTGAAAATGGGTAGGTCGAGAGTGGAGGGAGATGCCCGGGAGCAGGAAGGGCGGGTGGGCAGCAGGAGGGAAATGCACCAGTTAGTCGACCGGCTGAACCGGTAACCAGCTCTCAACCGACGGGTCCCGCCGTTTCCACGACACTGACTGTCGCAACAAATCCACTGGCCTGGCGCAACCCGAACCGACTCGCTGACTTGCGCCTAGCCCAGCCCAACCCAGCCCGGCCCGGTCGGGTCGGGTCGGGTCCAGCGCAGGCTGCCTTTCCTTTCGCCTTTGCGTTGGCTCAGAGGCTTTCTCCGTCTAGTGCAAGGGCATCACCTCTCTCTCTCTCTCTCTCAAGGAGCAAACCCTCTGTAGCCCAACGCATGCTTACCCTGCCTTAGGAAGAGTGTTCACAGAGTGTGTGTTCTTCTGAATCCAGCCTTTGGCTCTGTGTGAGGTAGGTCCTTCCCTTCCTTCGTTACTGCCTCTCTCCTACCAGTGCTGCTCGTTTTGCCGCCTCGGCCTTGCCCTTGCCTTTTACCCCTCCGCCTCTCGCGCCGCTGGTTCGTCTCTTCTGTCTCTGAAGTTCGGTGATTGCCCTCCTCCCCTCGTTTCTAGTGTCCGTCGCTGCACTCCCGTCTCAAGGCTAGTCGTCGTCGCTAGTCTCCATTCTTCACTTTATTTTATGTTGGTTTTCTCTTGTTTCTTTTTGCGAGGCGTTGATTATTCTTTATTGTCTGTGTGTATTGGGGTTAGGGGCGTTGGTCGTTGGCTGGGGTTGGCCGTGTACTTGGAAATGGTTATTATGTACTGGATCTTTTTTGGGGGGTCTTGGGGAATTTGGCCATTGTGTAGTGTGTCGTTGTACCCGTGATCTTCTTGCGATGCTTTGCTTTAGAGCGCGTGTCCTCTATTTGCGGGGACCCTCGTGTTGACCCTTTGTGTTGTTGTTGCTTTGGTTGAGTTGTTGTTCGCCCGTGTGTGTGCGTGTGTGTCGACGAGTCGTTCTTGCGGTCATGACATCATGCAGCCACATTTTCAAAGCCTCGAGCTTGGTTACGTTTTTGGTTGGAAGGCCTTGGTGTCCTGGATGTGGTTTTCCATTTTAGTTGTGATAGTTCTAGCGATTGCGTGAATGATTCCTACAGCAGCGTGAGCGTGTCCAAAGTTTCTCAGTTCTGTTTTCTTGAGTACTTTGGGAGGGAATCGATGAAGCTTTTGCGGTTCAGATCCCTCGTCATTTCCAGTCCACCGCAAAGAGCAATATGTTAATGTCGTTCTGGGATTTTAACTTAAATTTTTGGACTGGACTATCAGTCAACGGCTTGTCTGGGAAGGACTTCTATCAAAACGTCGTGTCAGTGAAACATACCGCTCTTGGACATGGCGTGACTCGTATACTCCACGAGTTCGGTCTTGTTGTCATGTCTGGTTCATCACCCACATGGTGGTTTGTTTGCGATGTACTGCTTTGTGTATTGTCGGAGTTTATATGTCTGGTGGCTGACAAGTTTGACTGGACATGCGTGGGTGGTAATGCAGGTGTTGTATTGCTGGTGATTTGAAGGTGTTGACGGGGATGGTCGCCTAACCCGGGCGTCTGAACATCCTTGTCCCGTAGGCCCCAAGCAATCAAGATGAAGGAAGCGAAGGGCAAGAAAGGAGTCGGTGCGGTCGCGAAGAGGGACGTGAAGGAGAAGGTGACGAAGGTGCAGGATAAGTAAGTGCGAGGGGATGGTGTAGTTGTCGATGGGCGTTGCGATGAGTTGCGTTGTGTTGTGTTGTGTTGTGGCATGTAGAAATATGTGGCATCTGATGGTGTGATTTGTGGTGTGGGATGGCAGGGACATCAAGAAGAGGAAAGGGCCCGTGAAGGAGCCGAAGGGTAGGAAGGCGAAGTCGGCCAAGAAAGCGAAGGACCCGAATGCCCCGAAGCGACCGGCGACGGCTTTCTTCATTTTCTTGTGAGTAGACGTGACATGGCGGATGAGGAGGCAGGGCGGGGAGCAGTGGGAAGAGGATGTGTGTCGGGGGACTGACATGAGGTGGTTGGTGTTGGATGGAACAGGAACGAGTTCAGGGAAGTGTTCAAGAAGGAGAACCCGAACGTGAAGGGTGTGGCAGCAGTGGGAAAGGCGGGTGGAGAGAAATGGAAGTCGATGTCGGAAGCGGTGAGGATCGGGGTGGTGATGCTTGGTTGGTTGGTGGGAATGATTGGCATGTGTGTGTGTATGTAGGGGGTAGGAGAGGAGGATGCATTCAGTGTATCTGATGCGAGGGGTGGGCTTTTGTGGATGTGCAGGAGAAGCAGCCTTACATGCAGAAAGCGGTGCAGAAGAAGTCGGAGTATGACAAGACGCTATCTGCGTACAACAAGAAGCAGGTTCGTTGCAGGGGTCAAGTGGGTGTTTTTGTGGTTTAGGGAGGACGATGGGGTTATATGGTTTTGGTCTTGGTGATATGGTTTACTGATCGTTGTGTGCTTTTGGAACAGGATGACGACGAGGAGGATGAGGAGGTGGAGGCTGAGGAGTCCGACAAGTCGAAGTCAGAGATCAACGACGACGAGGAAGACGAGGAGGTGGGATAGGACAGAGTTTGTGTATTTGATTGCAGTCGTTGTTGTTTGTGGACGGTGTGTGTGTAGACAGGTGCCGGGGGAGCGTGTTCGTGGGTGTCTGAACGGATGTGGGGGTTGGTTGCAGGAGGACGAGGACCTGGAGGATTGAGTGATTGGGGGCAGGCGTTGGTAGTAAAGAATTATGGCTGTCGTTGAAGAGGAGGAGGAGGAGGATCGCAGGCGTGTGGCTAAGGGCTGTCGAAACAAGCTGGTGGAGGTGTCTGTCAGTGATACGTAGGGTTTGAATGGGAGGTAGATGGGTTGGAGGTGGCTGGTTTTGGGATGGGGATGGAGGAAGGGTGGGAAGTAGGATTTGTGGGAGATTTATTTTGCTGGCAGACTGGTTTTTGTAAATGTGAGGGAGAGCTTGTGGGTGTTTTAGCAGCGGGTGGTCAGTTGTGAGGGGCGGTGGTTGAATAGGGGGAGGGGAGGGATTGGTGTGGGTTGTCGAGGTGAGGGGCAGGAAAAGAGTGGTAGCAGGAATGCGCATGCGCAGGTGTGGGATGTTCACCTGAATGTTGATTACAAGCTCTCGTTCGTTATGTAAAATTCTGAACATGATCATTTGTAGGATTTTTGGCTTGACAAATGTCGGCGGATGTGGCTTCACGAAAAATGCATGATTTTATATGTTTCGTTTGTATTCTGCACAGGCTTTGAATTTGGGTGGGCATGAATATGGGTGGATTTTTTTTCAGAATGGATGGGTTGTAAGGTCTGGCTACTTATGTGTATTAGCGGCTACAAACATACGCGTTCTGCGTGGCGATATGGTCTGGCTACATATGTCTTTCTCACGTTCCTGCTGTCTGGCGTTGGTAATTCCTTGTCGGTTTTTTCTCTCTGGAAGTGTCTTTGCCTCTCTTTTTGTCTGATTGCTGTTTTGTTTTTTACCATGCTGTTTTTGGTCAATGATGCCTGTTTTCTAAGTGCACTCTTGTCGTCTGTGTCATTAGCGATTTGGCTTTTTCACGGTGCGGTGGATGCATTAAATCTTTGCGTTTATGTGTTGCTTACATTTGGGCGAAGGAAATCTGTTACCCTTGCACGCGCGATGCTCAGACAATCTGACTATTCTTGCAGGGAGTTTTCTGTAACTACTTGCTGCCAAGTGGCGATCAAGATATTTCCGCATATCGCCACGCAGAACGCAGTTGTAACCTTCTCTAAAATGTTGGGAGCAGCCGCAGTGCCAAAACTCAGCACCAAGTGGCATGGATTTAGCACTCGGGAGTGGGCGTTTCCCATCCATCTGTACGCCATGCAATGTTGTCAGAAACGCTAGTACAAGGGTGTTGTTTTTTCAGTCTAGTCATGACGAGTGCTCATGGTTGTCGGAGTGTAGCTGAGGTGGCGATCCAGTTCGACGAGTCCGTTGACAATCTCAGCAAGAGTCTTTCGAATATTCGGGAGGGGGGGACATTGGATGATGGCGGAGGAGGCTTGGGCCAGAAGCGAGAGGTGGGCAGGCTGTACTCGTCGGTTTGCAGCGCTGTAATGTCCTCGTCTTTTATGGGGTTCGGAGGGCGAGCATCCACATACAGCGACGGGTATTGATAGCTCGTCCTTGGTGATGACAGAGTGGAAGCAATTTGATTCGAGGGTCTATCCAGGTCAGGCACGCCGCGACTGAACAGTGGGAGGGGGTCGCAGCGGTTGGCATCGGTGGACTGAAGGATCGCTGCAGTAGCAGCAGCAGCAGTAGCCCCACCCCACCCCACCCCCACCCTAAACACATTTTAATAATTTGTGATTTATTAAATAAGGACCAATATATAACATCATTGATGTTGTGATAAGAGAACATTTGACTGAAAACAATTTCCAAGTATATGTAAAATTTACAATTTGAGTAGTATAATATAAAAAATCTATGGTCTTTGAGTGATACTTTCTACTTTTGCATCTCTTAACTTGCACATATATATATATAATGATTCGTACTAAAAGTAATTTGAGACTTTGCATGATAAATACTATGCTATATAAATGTAAAAATTATTTAATCATTAGAAATATTTTACATATAATGCATATCTATGTAATATAAATTTCATACAACACATATGAAATACAGAATATGCAATAATTATATTTTATCACATAACAACAATGGTTAAAGGCGAAAGTAAATCAAGTAAAACAAATCTTCATGTACAACTCTAGTTTTAAATATCATTATAAATCATCTTGTTCCAGTTACAAAATTTGTGTTCAATAAATAATTCATTTGTTTAAGTAATTGGCTTGGGATTATATGTAACTTTATTCCTTGGATTTTGATCCTATTTTTTGTTTTTTATATACTTTCGAAGTATATAATGATATCAAAACTTGTCTAATTTTTATTCCAAGATTTTGGAATTTGTGGTATTAAACATCAAAACTTGTGGAGGTATGAAGAATGATTGACAATTAAATTAATAGGATGAGAAATACCATAGCATATAAATCACGAGAAAATGATAAAAAAGTAAATATATGTGATTCATGTGAAACTTACCAGTGTTGCTCTAATTTCTAACAGCAATGCCAAATTTATGTATGTTTCTCAGACATGATCAAAGCTATTGCTCGTTTGATAAATACCAAAACTTGTGAAAAGAAGTTGAATACTAGAAAAGAAGAATACTAGAAAACTTCAAGAATAATTTAGACTTTTCAGGAATATTTGCATTCTGACGACTTTTCTTGCCTCTTCAGGAAAACTAAAAGTCAAAGTAATGAATTTTATGTTACATGTTTGTTTTGAAATATATATATTACTAATAACATTTGCCAAAGTTTTGTTATCTTAAGGGTTTAATTAACGAATTTGTATATCCCAAACCTGTTTTCAAAAAATTCAACAATTATTTCAAATCAATACATCTTAATATTATCTCTAATGGATTATCAGAATTTTTTAAAAATCTATAATTATATTCTATTAAGTGATAAGATGAATCAAGAAATAATTTTATGTTTGAATGTTGTGTTTGATATACAATAAAAGAACATTCTTAATTTAATCCAATGAAACATTGGGAAAAATTAAAAAGCTAGTCAATGCATTTTTATTTTTATTTATTTTTAATTTTACACATGAAATTTGTTTTTATAGTTATTTTATTCATTTTTTTAATTAATTAATGATATGATTACTCCTAAAATTTTAACATTTGAAACTATTGTATAAAAAATTAAAAGATATTAGAAGCTTTAATTATTTTTGGATATATACATACGCATAGAGATATTAAAAATATTAAAACAATTAATATTGAAATATTTCTTTCTATAGTTCTATCTATTTTTAAATTTAGAAACATAACAATATGATCTATGAGCAATTTTTACAAGTATTACATTTGTTCTGTTGACTTAGTCTTATTGAGCTGTGTAATAACAAACCATCTTTATATAATGGAAAAGTATAGAAAGTAAATAATCTTTAGATTCACTAAATGTTCTAATGATTTTTTGAATAGCTTTTTCGAAATCTTTGGTCACCATATATTTCCATTCTAAAAAAAGTTATAATTTTTAAAAAGTATATGTATATTGAGTAGAATATGTATACAACTAATATTAAATGCATGGTATCAAAATTAATTTACAGAAAATTTTGATTGTACAGCTTAATAACTTCAGAAGAATATATAAAGATTTGTACACTTTAAAATGATAATATTCAATTGAAGAGGTGATAAGATGCAAGGTGTTCTTGCAAGATGTATACTACTTGCAAAGTTAAGAATTTGATGTACAAGCTTCTAGTGACTTTTTGCTTAGCCTGTAAAAAAAAATATTTAAAAACTACAAAATTTGGTCAATTTTAATTTAATCAATTATTTTTTGTCATATTCTTTAGAAGCTTTAACAAGTTTTATAAAAAAAATCCCAATTAGTTATAAGAAATAAACTCCTATATCTTTGCATATGATTCATTATAGTTCTTATTTCTAAATTTTGTGCTGCTTTTTAAAATACTCATTATTAAAATTTTGAGCGTGATAAATTCAGTAGCTTGAAATTCTGATAGTAATTTTAAATTTTATGCTTATGAATTGGTATACTCAAAACAGTTTAAAGTACAAGTTTAATAGAAGTAAGTTTAATAAAACTTACATTAAGAAAATAATAATGATGACATATAATTGACCAATTATATATATATATATATATATATATATATATATATAGTTAAGTGACCTTTAGTATTATTGAGAAACTTAATTCCTTACTTAAACTAATTTATGAAGACAACATATATAATTGTATCTCTTTGAAAGATCTTTATGCTTTGCATGTATAGATAATGTGGACTTACATTTTTGTATTAATTTTTTGAATAAAAAATAAAATATTGTATGTGAAATGTAATTAATTTTATTTGAAATTGTAATAAAAATTAGAATATGATTTTAAAAAAAATCTAAAAAGACGTTTATTGTAACATACATGTTGTCTTATTTATTCATCTACCAAGATTCATGTTCACTTATATCAATTAATATAAGAGAAAATCAAATGTGAAAAGAAAGTATTGAAATGTGATATCATGTATTTTCACATTGTATATAATTTTTCATATTCTTTCTTCGCAATTAAACTAAGAAACAGTCACAACCTAAGAAACCCACCCCAAAAATGTTTGGTCTTTACACCTTTCACACTATATTTGAAATTAGAACAACTTTGACTTCCATGATGTTTGCAAACAGAATAAAAGATAAAAAATTGCATAAAATGTTTATTTCAAAATTTTCATGCAGCATACTTTAAAAAAAATTGTACATGCGTATTATATATATATATATATATATATATATATATAAATAGATATATATTAATAATAACACTAACTTACTATATATATATATTAATAATAACACTAACTTACTATATATATATATTAATAATAACACAAACTTAAGGTCAATTAGAGTAATTAATTTCATTGTTAATGAAGATGTAAAATTATTTTACTCTTCTGTTTTGGTCGTTCACAGAATACATGTATATGTTTTGAGTGTCAAGTTTTACCATATTTTCTCCTTATTTTACAGAGCATTGAGTTAATTGAGAACAATTCATACTTTCTAAAACCTGATACATTCACACACACACACACACACATATATATATATATATATATATATATATATTTACTTACTTACTTTGCACACTATTTAGTCTTCATCATTTATATGCATTTTTATAATACTATTATTCGACGTATACACAAAGTAATGCAATAATTATTTAAGAGCTCCGATCGCGGATCTTTGGGAAATAGAATAGCTCACCCATTCAAAAGCAGCTGCACGTGTTGAACTGAAGCCGATGAGCCCCCCTCTTTACGACGTCCACTCAACCGAACGGGATGCGGTGAGACACGCAAAAAGCAACACAGGCGGCGAGATGTTGTTGTTGATTTCCGAGGGCATCGTCATCGTTATCGTCATCAGATGTTCATGGCGATGCTGCAGATTTTTATCTGGTTTTTTGTTGTATCTTCCAGAACAGGATCCCACCATGGGCACAACCAGTTCCAATCTCTTTTTCGCTCAGTTTTCTCAGCCGCGAACATTTCAACGATGAGTCGCATTCCAACTGTGTCCTCGGAAAGAGGACCTTTCCGACGGCTTCACGCGCCAGTGGCGACGAACCCTTCAACTGGCTCAGTCTCGTCGCCTCTGTTTATGCGACGCGACGCGGCACGGCACCTCGCAGCGGAGGCAACACAGCAGCGGTGGGGTTTCTGCTTTCCGGCTGTTCCGAATCAGGCCTATTTGCTTCCCCTCCTCACTTCGCAGCTTCCCAGACAGATTTGGAGGATTTCGCCGGCTTACTGGTGTTGAGATTTCGGATAAAAACACCACACGGTGACGCCACGAAAGGGAGAGACGCAAGTAGAACAACAGGGGAAGTTTCTAGTGGTGGGGAGGGGGGGGGGGTTTCGGAGCTAGAACGCCCCGAAATTTCATCCATCCATAAATAGTGGGCGCTCCACGAGGCCGAGCTTCACATCCGGGATGGGGAAGGTATCGACAACGAATGAATCTACCCATCCACAGTGGATGGATGAAGCGCGGGGCGGGGGGGGGGGTCTCTGTATGAGTGGCGACTTCCGTGGCTCCATGTTCTAGGAATGCGTTGCTGTGCTTCTAGAGCTCGGAGCTTCATCGCGTTTGCTTTGTTCTGTGGTCGCGCTAGCTGGTTGTTCGCCGCATCGACTACAGCCGGAATTGTCTTCTCCATCTGTTGCTTCCTAGGTTTCATTCTTCAGGTGCCTCAACGTATTTTTTTGGTTTCCTCCATTTTTATTTATTTTTTTTATTTTTTTTGTTTCAATTTTTGTAAGGCGGCGTTGATTGCGGCGTTCCTCTCCGTTTCCAATTTGGTAGAATTGAATCAGTATTTGGAAATCTGTGCTTCTAGTGAATCGGAAGGTGAGGTACGAGCACGAGGATAATCGATACATCCTTATTTTTTATTTTTATTTTTTTCTCTCTTCTTCTTCTCCTTCTTCTTTTCTCTCTCTTACTGAGGATAAAATACAGTATTGTACTCCTTCCTTCCTCGGGGGACGGCATTTTGTTCTTCCTGGTTGAGTGTGGAAGAGATCTTATTTTTTGGTTTCCGTGTCTTCTATTACTGAGCAGGAGATTCTGGTTATTTGAGTGCAGAGAGTTGGGTTTCTTTCCTCTCTGGGAAAAGAGATTAGAGGTCTTGGAGACAGGGTCAAGTTGGATCTTTCTCTAGCTAGCGGCAGGCTCCAATCAGCGTCATGGCAGCAGGAGGATCGAGATCCAGGGCTGATTACGATTACCTCATCAAGCTGCTGTTGATTGGTGACAGTGGTATGTATCATGTACTTTGGTGTGACTTGGAAAATGAAATTGCAATTTGTAGCATGTGGTATGTACAACGATTTATTTATTTATTTATTTTTAAAATTTGTTTGTCTTTTTTTCTGCGTTTGTGTCGGTTCGACTACACAACTGAATGTACGTTGGGACCACTGTTGATGTCTGCGTGCTGTGCTCTTTTGAAATTTTCGAAAATCGAGCATGGAGAATCATCTCCTTTTGGAGGTCGGCGCATGTACAAACCGACCTTCAAAACAATATGTTCAGCTACCGTTTGAGACGCATAGCACCTGGATACTTATTTAGCTTGCTCATTTTCCAGGCCTGGGGATGAATGCTGACTTCTAGGGTCTCGATATGTTTTTCGCACTAAGTCACGTGTAATATAGATCCCGCCTTTTTGAGAGCATATGCACCACACATCTTGCGTTTCATGCACAATCAGCGCAGCTTCAAATGAGTTTGGCGAAGAGATGATTGTTAGTTGTGTGCGCTGACTGGCATCGTGGTATTGCTTTTTATTTGTCTTAGATGATAGGGATAATTTCCCAGGTTGGTCTCATTTGTTGCAGAATTGCATCAATTGGACATTAGGTTTCTACATCTCTCTGTAGAGGTTTTCGCGTTGTGTTGGTTTCAACGTCCACAATCTCTTCGCATCCGAGTTTGATCCTTGCGTCTCATACGCGCAGGGGTTGGAAAGTCTTGTCTTCTCCTTCGTTTTTCCGATGACTCCTTCACGACAAGTTTCATCACCACGATAGGGTACGCTCTCTTGGAAACATGAAGTATGGAACATCTTGCACTCGTAGGAAAAATTCTCTATGAGATTCTTTGATACTACGGCGAGACAATGAGGTGCTCCATGTCAGCATGTGAAATTGTTAATTGGTGGGCCTCCGACAGGATTGACTTTAAGATTCGGACCATCGAGCTGGATGGGAAGCGCATTAAGCTTCAGATATGGGACACCGCTGGGCAAGAGCGGTTCCGTACAATCACAACAGGTGTTTATTGCGACTTGAAATTGTCTTCAACTTGTAGTCTGTCTTGGTTTCTTCTTATCGTCGATTTAAAACTTCAGGCTCTTAGTTACATGGCAGTATTCAAGATGGTTGGCAATTCACAAAATGTAGTAATGTCGTGAGAAGTTTTATGACTGTATGCAAAGATTCAATTATATTGCGTGCATTCATGAAATGCAATGACTCGTTTTCGATTTTAATTAGTGATGGCTAATTTTATTTTTGTCGATTTACGCGCAGCCTACTACAGAGGAGCAATGGGGATACTGCTAGTTTACGATGTAACAGACGAGTCTTCATTCAACAGTATGCATCCTACAACCGTCCGAGCTCTAGCTGAAGTTGGTCAGGTTTATGTGACTAGAATGTGCAGGCTGCTGGGGAGTTGTATTAAATATGAACTGATGGTGGGAAGTTAGTATTGATACGATTTCAAAATAATAACAAAATGGTGGTACAACCATGATTTTACTGTGATCAGACATTCGGAATTGGATCAGGAACATTGAGCAGCATGCATCTGACAACGTGAACAAGATCTTAGTTGGAAACAAGGCTGATATGGACGAGAGCAAAAGAGTAAGGACCTGATACCTTCTTTGTCATCCAGTACTTCTCCCGTTGGCGGTCCTTGTGTAGCAGGGATTCTCTCGCCTTGTAGATACTTGAGTTCGGTAGCGTGGTGTTTAATTTAACTACATCATGCTTTAACACTACACTCGCTGATGTTTGTGATTATATCGTGTAATATTTTCACGCGGAAAGTGTTTAGCTCCTAAGGAGCTTAAGTCGACCTTTTAACTCCTGCAGGCTGTTCCGACTGCGAAAGGTCAAGCTCTAGCTGATGAATACGGCATAAAGTTTTTCGAAACTGTAAGTCAATGTAATAGAGCTCCACAGCTCATTTTTTCGTTCTGCTTTGTGTCTAATGTAGGTTGTTTTATGATGGGATGGTGTTGGTGTTGGTTGCTACTAAATGTTACTGTTTTCTTGTTTTTTAATTCTCGAATCTTATTTCGTTTTCGAACTTTTGTTCTGACCACGGCTTGCGATCTCGTTTTTGTCATCCAGAGTGCCAAAACAAACATGAACGTTGAGGATGTGTTCTTCACCATTGCAAGGGATATCAAGCAAAGGCTGGCTGAGAGTGATTCGAAACCAGAGGTGAGCCTTATTTTCCGTGTCAAGTGATTTTGGTTTTCTATCAATTTGTAGCGCATAACTTGTACGAACTGCTGTGCTCTTATCTCTGCCTAAATTACTTCCCTTCAGCACTGAAAGCTTTAATGTGTTTTGTTTGAAACAAGTTGCTTGTTTAACTCGGTTACCACATGCGGGTGGGTTTGTTCCTTGTAGGCTGCTAAGGATGCCAAGCCAGATGTCAAGCTTCTTGCAGGCAATGCTCAGACAAAACCAGCTTCTGCCTCTTGCTGCTCATAGCTTAATGACTGATGTTGCGACATTGGTCTGGTGAGCTTTTGGATTCCCTTGGTGGAAAGCTTTGAGTTGCAAAACGCTTTTTAGCTGGCTCCATCAAACAAGCTGCTGGCATGCTTTGGAGTTCATTCTTGTGTCATGGCTGTAAGCTGGAGGTTCTGGCGCAGAGACCACGTATTTCTTGAGGACGTTTGGGAGGCCATATGGCACTGTAGCACCTTGCTAAATTCCCTTTTCCAAATTTCAGAAGAATATACTGCGCACTATTTTGGATTGGTTAATCTTGTTGTGAGATGAGATACCAAGCCATGAGATGGACATTGCTGTCTGTAATGGTATGACTTAGTTTACTTTCTCATTGGCTACTCTAGGAATATTTACGTGGATCTCAACGTCAGTCGTAGTATTGGATGTCATGATGATGACGTAACTCTATTAAGTGCTTTGATCGTGTTACGTCACTTCGGCAATAGAATTGTGAGGTTGGTAGGTAAAAGTATTGTGAGCTACATCAATGAAGCTTGCAGGATTGTAATTATTCTCGGTATTTCCAAAGCAATTTAAAGAACAGTGAATTTTTATTTGGTGTTTATAAATAACTTGAATCACATTATACTATTTAATGATTTAACTGGTGATTCCAAACCCGTGGTTGCTTTGGGTAATGCTCCATCTTTACGAATGTGGACATCTATCACTTGCTATGGCAAGACAATTGGCCTTGTAAGATCGAAGAAAACTGGTGAATCTTTACCTTTGCAGTGAAATTAGACGTTGGAGGCTTCAATCTGGGGTGTTGGATTTACATAAAACTTTGGGATTCAGGTGGTTGGCGAGCCTTCAAGTTCCACCTATTTCTGTCTGCTGTTGAACATGTGCATCATTGATCAGACTGGTATGCTAGGATACGGACTTCACAGTAGGAGTTGGGTGGCTGCTCCGGATATACTGGTGAGACTATATTATTTGAGGTGTCATCTTAGACCCATCTCGCATGCCCTTCTCTTCTGCTGACAGCATGTGCAGGCATTACTTAGTGTTGGGAAAATGAAAATTTGGAAGACTTCTAAATTCCTTCTGCGGCCTGTTGGAATGAGAAGGAAACAACATCCTATACGTGTCTGTACTTGGCACCTGTACACCGCATCTGCTATTCTGTCAACGTTGCCGACTTGTTAGTTCAGTATCAGCGGATGCCTGCGTATTATGGTTGGCTCAATTATGTTGACACTGATCCCTAAGGCAATCAGATTTTCAAGTTCACTACAGCCTCCACTGTAGTTATAATTGGCGCTGTTCCTTCAGGGCAGTGATTACCCCATTAAGGGTGGTTGAATCCTTGCTTACAATCTTTTTTTTGCTTTCGTAATATACCAATCAACTTATGTATCTCCAACTTTGTTTGTTTTGATGATTCTTAAGATTATAGCAAGTGGTTTTTCAATATATATTTATTCGTTCATTTGGTGTGATTTGGTTTGTCAAGGGAAAAATACATACTATAGATTGTAAAAGGTGCCGTGAAAGGGATGTCTTCACTTTCTGTATTCTTTTGATTTACTGCATGGATCACAACGTGGTGCTTCAAAGAAAAAAGGACAAATCTGTTTTATAACTTTTGGTGTCTTTGTAAGAGTTGTTTTTGTCAAAGATACTAAGGATAAATTTAGAATACGAACTTTCCTCTTTTCACTTTTATCTACTTGTAAAAAGCTTAGGAAAGTCTTGAGGTAGTAATTAGAATCCATAAGTTTTTAAGAATATTATGACACATACAATAGTTTGGTTTGGAATAAAACTCCAATAAAAAAAATACATTCTACAAAAAACATAATTTATTAGTCTATTTACACTTGTCTTGTATATTATATAACCTTGTGTTCAAATTTTAACTTTTAGAAATAATATGTTTTTACAATAAGAGACAACACTTTTTGAATACACATTAGCAACATATGTTTTTATCACAATGATTTGAAAAATAATAATAACAAATTGAGGTGGTATTTGATAAAAACACATTTAAAAACTATCTATACCACTAATATAAAAACATAAAATTATAAATAAAACTTATTTCTATGGTTTGAAATAGAATCTATAAAATGTTTGTATTAAAAAATATTAATAAATTGAGCATAGAATTTCTAAAGAAAATTAGAGAAAAATAAAAAATAATATACTTACTTAATTAAAAAATTAAACATTAATATTTCCTTAGAAACTACTTTGAATTTATATAAAATAAATAATTATTGCATTAAAATCTAACTTTTAAAAATAATCTACAAAATAAACATGCCTTACATTATTTAAAAATTTAAGAAATAAGATAAGATCTTAAGAGATCCTAATAAAACATATTATTTCAAGGACACAAGATCTATATAATTTCTTATTAAAATTTAGGACAAAAAGGCATACAGAAGACATTTAAGTGTAACATAGAAAAAATAAGATTTATTTTCATTTCTATAAGTTACTTTAAAGAAACAAGAAAAACATAAGTTGATGTAGTTAGTGTTGGAACCTCACCAGTAGTAACATACACACACTTTTAAGCTGGTAAAACTTACACACACTTAAGTAGAAGTATTTTTAATTGTAACATAATAATAAGTAATGTTAGCAGATAGATGTCTTAATTTTTGTTACTAATATCACATGAAAAGTAATCATATGCTAGTTTAAAATGTTATAAAATCATATAGAGTTGTAATTATTTTATATTCAATTAAACTACAAGACAATATAATGGCATTGTAAGACTCAAAGTACAAGTAGAATTGTTATGTAATAATTAATTAGTTAGTCAATGGCATCAAAGTGTGAAGTTAATATAGGAATACAGTGTAAAATTTACGCAAGTTCAAATTTATTAAAGTTAAAACTTGTAATATTCATAATATTTTTAACATATATATTGCACAAGCAAATATTATTTACAATGCTAGGGTACACGGTTCTTTTCAAGTGAATTCATAAATCCTATAAAGTTTTTTAGATTGAAATAATGTTACAATATGTAATTACCCTGTGATTTTAAAATGTAGATATATATTTACTTGTTGTATTATATATATATAATACAACAAGTAAACTCTGTAATGACATAAAAAAGTTAGACTTTGCAGCATTGCCACAAACAAGTCTGGGATGCCCCTTTTACTTTCAACTCACTTTTTGCATCCATTCAGAAGATCCTTGAATCTTGTCTTTACCTTTTTATGGATTCCTAAGTTTCCTAAGTTTAATAATTGGTGGTTGTTTTTGAAATTTACTGATTAGCTAAAGTTTTCTGTCTGTGCTTGGAGTTTGATGATTGGATGTAATTTTGAGAAGGGAATTTAATTCCTTGATTACTGAAATTTAAAGAATTTAGAATAAAACATAATTGAAATTCCTTCAGAGGATATTTATTCTAAAAGACAAAATTTGACTTAGGATAAGCATCACTGGTTTCTTAAAACTTCTTTTGAATTATAATTCACCTGCGATTGCAAACCAAATATTTTGATTGATAAAAATTAGTTATTTTAAAAAGAGCTTTGTCATTAAACTAAAAACATATATTAATAGTATGTCATTACAATATTTAAAGTTCAATATTCAATGAATAATACTCATATTTCAATTGTCCATATAACTCACCACATTTTGTTTGATATATATATATATATATACACACACACACACACACACGCACACTCAAACAAGGATACATGACAACATTTGGTAAAAAATTTAATCAGTGTTATATTTAACGAAATTATAACATTTTTGGTGCATTTTATGGGTATAGCAAAGCAGAGGGAAAATATCTCAAATTAGTATTATATAATGCTTGTATATTGCTTTAGCAAGACCTTTTTTTTTTTTTTTTTTTTTTTTTTAATACTAGTGGAAAAAACGGTATTTTAATTGCAATGTCTCTATAAACAATTGCATCTTTTTTTCATGTCATTGTTTTCAATGCAGTGGATTCGTAATCAAAATACCATCAATTTTGCATTGAGTTAGAAAAAGGTAGTTCAGATGAAAAAGACGAAGAAAAAAACACGGAAAGAAAAGAAAATTCTGAAATAATAAATAACTAACTAACTAACTATATATATATATTACCCCCTGATTCCATGGTAAATCGACATCAGAAGCGAGGTAAGAGGAAAAAGTTCCGATCAGAAAAGTGAAAGTAACACGGTCCATTCAGCGGTGACCTGGCAACAGAGCCACGCGGTGTGAATGCCAACAGGGGATCCCCCGCGGTTGGAAATTAGTCCCACGTGGATTCTGACGTTCGACCAATGAGCTCACAGGCTCCGACGTGTGAACCCGAACTTGGGGGGAACGTGGTTCCCATCTACTCATCCATCCATACAGCCATCCATTCGTACATTCGTTTAGATTTACTCATTCATCCACTAAGGGCCAAGGCAGTGTCAGAAGACCAAGATGCCGATGTTGTAGTAGTAGTTGGGGGCCCTATCCCCGCCGCCCTCCGTCCCCTAATCCCATTGGCCCCTCGTCCGTGGACCTGTCAGGGCCGACGCCATTATTTCGAACTTCGTGTTCCAGGGATTTGTATGCGGAACCGACAGCCCCGATGAGTACGCTGTCGCTCATCGGGGCCAGCTTGAAGGCCTCGTCGTCGTTCCATTCTCGTGCAATCCCTGTTTCTCGGGTGACAAACTTAGCCTCGGATAAATAATTCTCCTTTTTCTTCTTCTTGTGAGTTTTACCGTTTTGTTTAATATTCTTTAAAGTAAGAATTGTGTCGATGGGTGGTGATTCTTTGTGGCATGTGCTGAATGTAGCCGAGGGCCCGGGTTGTGTTTCTTTTTCATACCGAAAGGGCTGACTTCTTCACCGAGGATGGGAGTTGTGAAACATAGGCTTCTTCCCCGCTAGGTGGAAGAAGTTCCTGCGGATGTATCAAAAAAGGCCCCTAGCATTTCTTTTGGTAAAGGTATTCGGGGTCTTTCCTTTGGTCGTTGAGCTTTTTGGGAAAAAGGACCCACGGAACTCACACCGTCTTGGCACAGCGCACATGCGATTGCACCGATCACCGAATATGATCTTATTGTGTTTCCCACTTCCACCTGTGTAGTAAAACGACATTTCGTCATGTCTCGGGGAGCGAAAAAGTCCTACGTCGATGAAGAACGGAGACGAAGTAGATCACAGTGGTTGCAACTGGTTATTATCGTGTCCAGAAAGTGAATCTTACCACAGTGTACTGTGATCAAGTTGGCCTGAAACTAATTCAAATTGAAGATAATAAATTAGAGTTGATGTGCGCGGAAAAGTTACGTCTGTGATGTGGTTGAGATGGATACATTGCCCGAATTCGTGATTACAAAATGTGCTTCAGTGAGTGGTCACCCCTTCTCGGCGGCTGCGGATACAAGCATGCCCGGAGGATACCACTTACTGGTATTAATAATCTTGAGGAGAAAGGACGCTCCACAGCCTTCGATAATACTGCGTCGCTGAGTCTCATTCTTAGACATTGATCTGTTACTTGTACTGATTGGACCAGCATCAGCAACATTTTCATTCGATCATCATTCGCAAAGCGTACTGCCTTGGATTTACTCTAGCGTCACTGGTTTCTATAAATGGGGTCATGTCAGGGAGGAGGGAAAAAGGGATAAAGTCTACTTTTATGATCTTGCCGGTGTCAGAAAGTGACCGTTGTGATGTAGAATCACAGACGTTGCTTCGCAGTGGAAGATCTAGACGGCAAAGGCTCGGGGAGTGTGTTGGTTGCTGACACACTCGTCGTAATCTGCTGAGGTTGGGAATCTTCAAGGTGGGAGATCGGGTTGGATTATCGAATACAGATTAATTACTGCTGCTCCAGCATTGATTCCGTAATCTTCGATGAATTGTCAACGCGGAGAAGCTTCCTCGAGTTCGCTTTTGAGGTTGTAGCTGGATTAGAAGGTAGAAGAAGCGTGCTCCTTGCAATCAGCATTCTCATTAAGTATTCCTTCAATCCTGCTTCTGGAAATAGATAGCGGTTGCTTCAATAGATGTCAGTTTCTGTCGAAGTTGTCAGCGACATTTGAACCGTGACATTCAGCTCAGGTCACTCAGTTGCATTGATCATCAGGCTGCAACGTTCACAATTCGGTGTGTGTAAATTATTTTGCACCGTACTTGCCACGAGTGAAGTTGTCGATTTTTTGTTATTGCTACTGCGGCGAAGTGTGGTTACACCGAGGGTGTATCGGCAGAGACAAATGGAAGTATTGTTGGTTAGGGCAGCCGTACCATTTCCCGGTCCCCGTAGGTCGCAGAAACCTGCTGAAGTAGGGGAGGCTCAGAAAGCCAGGGCGCCTTCTTCCTCCAAGTTCCTTTCTTCCGATAGACCGACTGAGAGCACTGGGAAATCTACCGTAGCAGGTTCGAGTATTCTATCTGTAGATCCCCAGACCACACCATTTGCTACACTTGGACCGCTTCCAGCGTTCCCTCTAAAATTTCGCTGGTTCAAAGCGAGCAAAAAGGATGATGGTAGTGTTGAGGCAGACACAATCGATGCGGCTGTTCCCTGTGGAGACGTTGCGTCTTTATCATTAACAGCAGCACATGATGGCATCACCTTTCCTTTAAGTGCCGAGGAGAAGCGTACCGTGCACAAGGTTTTGTCCACTTTGCAATCTACTAACGGCGAGCTTACTCCTGTTGAGGTGACCAGCCTTCCAACCATTAGCTCCGATGATGTCGTCTCGGAGGTCAAGCCAGTCGCAATGGCCAGCGAGGACCTAGCCAAGGTGGAGGCCGAGATTGCGAAGAGTTGGTTACACAACTTCATGAAGATTGGCTCATTATGGAACATCAGACAATTTAACAAAAGCGCAGTGAAAGCTCCGCGAAAGCAGAGTCTGAATGGTGTTAATCAATCTGGTGCCGTCCTTACGGATTCAGAGATCTCCAAGTCAGCTGAAGAGGGCCTTCGCTCCTCTGATTCAATTTCAAGCGAGGTCGAGAAGGACTCATCGAGCTGTGTGTGCGAGGAATGTTGTGTTGACTCAGAGGATGAGGAAACGGTCTCTGCTGCAGGCGGAGGAGAGGAGATTACACACATTAAAGTCGTGCATAGCCGGGAGTCATTTTCGAAATTTCTTCATGCTGTCCCGATGGCTGAGCTTAAGACTGTCTCGCATTTGTCCTTGCTTTCCAACTTAGCCTACGTCATTCCAACTATTAAGGTGAACTTCTCTTTCCTGGTTTGTCGTTCAAAAGCTCAGTTGCTATAGAATTTGTTTAGATGGCTTCTGTTCGTCGCTGATAAGCATGGTTGCAGGATACCATCATACATGCAGTTCTCACATTCTTCCGAGGAAAGTATTCTGATTAGTCTCGTTGTCTGTTTTTGATGTGTTTGGATACAGCCAGGAAATTTATTAAGGAACCACGGGTTACGGTTCATCAACTCATCGGTACACTTAAAAGCTGCAGAAGAGAAAGAGGCAATGGAGAAAGCAGCTCAAGATAAAGCAGCTGGCGAAGAAGCTGGAAGGCTGGAAAAACAGGAACACTCGTCATCAATTGCGGGAGTGAGTATCGCTAAGGAAGTTAATGTCGAAAGCCAAACTACAAGATTACCATTGTTAAAAAATGTTACGATTCCTTTGGAGCCGATTCCTTGTCGGTCGGAGTCATTGCCAAGCAGTGTGCCGCCGGAGGATACCTGCGACGTGTCAAACATGAAGAGCAGATCCATTTCTGTAGCGCTCGATGCTACAGAAATGAAACCAATCACACAAGGAAGCACTAAGAAGGAGACGAAGAAATCTACTTCAACAGATGTACATCCAATTCACTGCCCGTGCGAGTGGTTCATTTGTGACGACGAGTCTACCAGTACACGCAACTTCGCCATCCAGGTATGCAGATAATTCTTCTGCCTTCTTTTTATGCATATGTTCTCAAGGCGGAAGATTTTTCCGGCAGAGCCCCAAACTTCATGCTTTTTGTTAAAGATTGATTTTTTGTAGTAACTTACTCTCAAAGCTGAGTATTCAACCGTTGAACGCAGGGATCCGATTCACTAGCATCTTGGCAAGCTAATCTCGCATTTGAGCCTATACGATTCGAGGATCCAAAGCTGGGAGTGATGGTGCATCGCGGCATTTACGAGGCCGCAAAAATATTATATGACGAGGTGCTGCCTTATGTACTTGAACACATCCAGAAACATGGTAGTGCCTCAAAATTCCGCTTCACTGGCCATTCATTAGGGGGCAGTTTAGGAATTCTACTCTCTGTTATGCTGCGAACTCGCAACATTGCACCATTGAGTTCCTTGCTACCCGTGTACACATTTGGTTCACCATACGTGTTTTGTGGAGGTGACCACTTATTACAGCAGTTAGGCTTCCCTCAAAGTCATGTACAGATGGTGGTAATGCACAGAGACATCGTCCCTCGCAGCTTCACCTGTGATTACCCCGACCACGTCGCGGAGGTTCTGAGGCACGTGAACGGAACATTCCGTGACTACGCCTGCCTGAAAAAACAGAAACTACTGTATGCCCCCATGGGTGTGATGCGCGTGGTCCAGCCTCCGCCAACTCAAGCGCCTGGGCATCCATTTCTTCCTACAGGTAGTGGAATGTACGACATTTGCCACCCGAGCTCCATAACCGACTCACAGCATCTAGTAGAACTCCGGTCTGCGCAAAGGGCATTTCTCAATAACCCCCACCCTCTTGATATCCTCAGAGACCGCACCTCATATGGTCCCGCAGGCAGTATCTCCCGCGACCACGACCCTCGCAGCTACGCCAAAGCAGTAAACTTCGTTCTGCGGCAAGAGCTCAGGAAAACTGAGAAGCGCACCCGCTCGTGGTTTAGGCTGGAAATTATCAATGGTGTTGCCTCAAAGAAGATGGCAGATTCTTTACACAGTGCAAGTAGTGGTTCTATTGGAGCAGCAAGCTCGGGGATGGGCTCAAACCAGCGTATACTGCGGAGATCGGAAAGTTTGGTAACTGGGGTCCGGAGTGCGCGCTCTTCCAGAAACACCTTGGTATCAGTTTCAACGATAGACCGTTTGAGTAGGTATAGCAGATTGATCGCTTCTAGGCATGTTCACATTGGCATGCTACTGATTGTTTCGGCTCGTGTTCTTGTAACCCAAGGCCTTGCCACATTTGTCGGTTAAACCTCCGCGTACTTGGTTGATTTGTGGGTTTCATGCTAATCTATTGTAAAGGTCGTTGTCTATGTGTTGCCCATTTTGTCGCCGAAGGCGGTGGAGTTTGGAAGCTGGAGAGAAATGGTCGTCTACGCTTCTACGACCTATCGACCAGGCATTCCTCTGAACATACGAGTCTCTTGAAGCCTCTCAACTTTAGTATTCTTTACTCTCTGAGTTATTAATTCTAGCCATTCTAGAATTCTAGCCATGAGAGTTGCAAATAGCTGGTAAACTGTAAATAATTTATCCATATAAAGTGCTAAAAAAGTGTACAGTGAATGTTCGAATGTCACCGACCGCGTACATGGAATGTGAATGTGAACAAGGTTGTGATGTGGCTCACTTATCAATACACTTTTTTTAAAAAAAATAGTAATAAATGGATCAAAATCAAAATAAAAAATGCAATGAATAATGCATGTGCAAATACGAATATGTGAATTTTTTCTGTACAACTGGTAACACACTAATACAATGCTTCGTTTAACAAGATAAAAGGAGTGAAAAGGACAGAATTTTAGCTGTTCTTAATTATACATATATATACATATATATGTATATAATTTCTGCACATCTGCAATGATAACATTTCGCCATTTTATCAACCATGTGACTTTACAACTCTGGATTTTTAAAAAGAAATAAACATTACTCTGTGTGTTGTTTTGGAACTCGACTGTAAAGAGTTGTGTACTAAACGGAATGCGACTTCAATAGGTCAGCTTCCTTTCCATTCCTATCACATGCGACAATAGTTTTCACATATGTTAGATGAGACAAGAGATTTCCAGCCTCCGCGCACTTGTTCACGATCTCGTACATCAAGTAGTCGAAGGAGTCACATTTTCAGACGACGTCAAACAGCTTTTGACAGTACAGTTGTGGACAAAATCAGATTAAGCCTTCCAACCAACATTCTGGATGTGTCTGCCTCGATTGATTTCCATTTTCAATGGCTGCAGATTGGTGCCTTAGATTGTCTAGACACCTAAGGATCCCTATAAATATGCACTTAAGAGTCAATATTTTCTCCTTTGTGCAGAGAGAATTCAACAGCCAACTGTTCAGCGACGTCGAGACAGCATCCCTCCAATGTATTTTTTTACAATGCTAGGCCAGCCCTTGGGTGTAGTTGAACTCCATAGTCGTAAACAGGACCAGCGTAATACCACAAATCACGGCTCCAACGATGTTATGTATATACCTTTCCGAGAAAGATCTCAGGCCTGCAGTATGTGCTATTCCCAGGTGCACATTTAATTGTGTGTCGTCGATTCCTTCTCAAGATGAATTTGTGCTAGTCTACCATCCATCCAATCTACAATATCTTGAATGATTTCAAACCTTTGTGGCTCAAACAAAATATCGTGCAACAAACCGACGTAGAGCTTGATGCTCTTGTACAGGGATGACGCTTGATTGTGTAGCTCTTGGGAACCTTTGGGATCAGTGACCTGATCATCTGATCCGTGAAGTACCAAAAAAGGGATCGTAATACTCTTCAAATTTTTTAGCAAGAAGTTGCTCAAGCGCAAAATTTCAGAACCTGTTCTAACACGAATATTTCCTGTGTAAACCAATGGGTCGGTGTATTTCGCAACAAGGGCTGCTGCGTCACGACAGACAGCGAGCTTCTTATTTACACCTTGAAATTGGTATCTTGGCAATAGGACAGAAAAAAGTGGGGCAACTGCCTGGAAAAAGACAAAAACAGATAGATAATAAAATATCAGCTCGTCCGTCCACAAAATAGCAGGAAGTAAGCTTGTGACAGAACATCAACCTATCTGGAAAGAGATTTAAATTAAGTTGAAAAGAAGAGCAACTCTGCATAGAATCATCTCATAAATTTCAACACCGGCAAGTAGAATACCCCAATTACTGGATGTGCAGGCTTGACTCGCACAGCTGGCGACGTCAAGATGATTCCTCCTTCCACTGACTGCACCACTTCAGGTTGATATGCAGCCTGAAGATTGATTGAACAACGAAGATAAAATCTCAGATCCAATCTCTGATCCAAGCTTTATTTATACAAATACATCGAAAACAGAACAGAATATTGTGGTCATTTCATAAACTACACAAAGACAGGAAATACATCGCCTGTGCAAACAAAATAGCCAGGGATTTACCTTTAAAGCAATTGAACCACCCGTTGAATGCCCATATATGAAGCACGGTAGACCAGGATATTCGGCTTTTACCCGTTCAATATATTCTAGCTGTACAAGGTTCGACTTAGCAATCAATGTTGAAAAAAAAAAAAAAAAAAAAAAAAAAAAAACATTCAATTTCAGAAGCTGTAAATCCGTATCCAATGGACTTGTGCACAACTGCAATTTAAGGAGAAAATATTCAGGAATTTCAGTGCGTTTATTAGCAAGGATGGCAGTGGACGTACAGTATCGGCTACAACGTGATCAAGTGATTCCACATATCCATGCAACCCATCACTTCCTCCATGCCCTGTATATCAACCACACCCCCATGAAATCACTGTGAAGAACAGGCTGTAATAATCATCATTGAGGAACAGAAAAAATGAGGCAACAATGTTGGCTCAAACCTGGATTATAGAGCAAGTGCAATATCTCAAAACATATAGAGTGTCAATCTACACGTTACATGTTAACATCGACTAAAATTAGACCCTGAGATGAAAGAGGGAACCAAAATATTACCGATCCAATCCATCCCAAATACTCCGTAACCTTGAGCGTTGAGATACATTGCAAATTCGTTGTAACGGCCACTGCATCATTGTACAAGCAACCAAATGAGCATGTTCTGAAGGAATTAAACAATGGGCTTGTGAAAAAATCTGAGAATTGCAGACATCTCAAAGATAAGGTCTACCCAAAGTGATATCACGAAAAACCAGTATGAACTTTGGAAGCAGGATAAAGTTTTAAGCAGAGTCAGTACCTGTGTTCGTTGAGTCCATGCAACAGGATCACCAGTGCTCTTTACACATAAACCAAACAAAACAACTAAAATCAGAACCACAAACACTTGCACCATAATTCAAATAAGGAATTTCCCATCAAACCAGTACTTGAACATCGATGACTGAGCAACAGAAGTTAGAGCGGTGTCGCAGCAAACTATGGCCCCCAGATTCTACCTCATCGTCTTGGTAAAATGAGTAAGAAGATACACGTAAAAGGGATATTCTTCTCCCTACACAATACATATTCTAACAGAATCCATGTGGACCACCTCCTTTTAATGCAGCTAGAGTAGACGATAGCATAGTGGCCAACACACTGAAATTTTGACAGATGGAACCTACATATTTTAAGAAGCGTACTAATACTTTCTAACCTGCATTGATAGTGATAATCTATGGACACCTCATTAGCACTGTGGTATGGATTCGAGGATGTTCTCTCAGGCAAGCTCCAAGAAATGCAACTAGTTTTAGGGAACAAGCAACAGAATACTCCTCCTCTTCGGTATCATCGGGTATCAACTAAAGCCTTTAACAATCATTTCTCACGTTGTGAACCCGACCTCTATAACTGTTGTTTTTATACAGAATTTAAAATGCCCCGGCTGCGAGAAGTAGCATATAGATAGACGTAAGGTTAGGACGTGTGTGTGTGTGTGTGTGTGTGTGAGAGAGAGAGAGAGAGAGAGAGAGAGGGAAAGATGATAAAATGGGACAGAACGTACTTCATTTGAACTTCAGAATTGATAGGAGTCCACGATTGCGTGAAGAGAGTTTGGCCACGAGAATTGGCAAAGGGCGAAACCTTTCTCCCGGTCTGTGCGTCATCGGAAAATCTCTCGATTGCCAATTCTCTACGTTTTTGCACTTCGTTGATCTCCTTCACACTGCGGGCAAATCTTGGAAACCAGATGAGGGGCAACCTGGGCTGAGATGCTTCGATGAGAGAATCGTTCTCGCTGTCCTTTCTCAATTTCTCCAATCGGCTGGCGTTAAAACGAAAAGTAGCCGGCGCCAAGGTAGTGAGAGAATGGAACGCCTTGGCCAGACGTCGCAACGCACGCAGAGGGAAGGAACCCAACATGAAGGGGCTGAAGTAGTGAAGCATAGAAGTCGATGGCTGATCCTCCACTAGTTTTGAACTCTCTGCAACTGAATTGTGAGCGTAAAGAGCCCTCGGAGCCGCCATAAGAGCCATGGCTTGCACGGCTCACTACAGACCCACAAAAGTTTCACAATCTCCCCTCACCCCAACTCCTCCACTTTACGCAGAAAATCCTTCAACCCATGCCCCACAATCAAACTCAGTACCCCTCATATCAAACTCCCAACTCTACCCTCTCCAACACAAAGTTCTTCCTCAAACCCACCAGGAGAAATGGGAGACTGAGACACAACGAAAGTGAAAAAGGCCCCAGAGAACAACAAAACAAACAAACCAAAAACTGCATGGTCTCTCAAACTCCCAATTCCAGAAGGTACAGAAACCAAGACCAAATTCACTTTCCGACAATCCTCAGGAGAACTGAGCAGTTTCATCAATATTCCTAAAAACACACTCGATCACAAAGCTCAGCCCAACAAACCAACAATGCACCCCGAAATGCTCCACTATCATCAACTCTCAAAGGGAAAAACTCTCCCACTCTGCACCTCAGCGAGAATCGATTACACGGCAATGCGCAAGTCTTAAAGAGCAAATGCGTGAATGAGGTGCTCCGCTTGAGACGGCACCGGACAGACGACGATGATTGCTTCGCCACCAGCGACCACAGCACTGGGCCCTCACCTACGGCGTTGCCTTCCAATCCACGCGAGGGTTTTCGCAAACTCCTCCGGTTACGACGAGACGGGACGAGGTGTGCACAATGGCCAGTGCGGAACCGAATACCCGGACGAGAATGGGGACTCAAATAGCATGACAGATTTGCATGATGTTCCCCGCCACCTCCGCCGTGACACCCATTTCTCCTTTATTCCAAATTCCTCACAATTCCTCACCTTTTCTTCGCAATTCGTCGCCGCAGTGTCGGCCATCTCTCACCACAAGGCCACCCCTCACATTACGCCGCGCGCCTCAACGAGCCGCGGCAGAGGTGCTTCGTTTCTCCACTTTCACGAATTTCATTCATCCACCCATTTTCCGTCTCGATAGACGAAAGTGCTGGACCTCTTGGGCTGAACAACGCCTCAAATTAAATGTCGTCGACGAAACTCGCACGTCGTGTTTATCAACGAATGAACTATGTTTGTCATTCGATAATGGTTTTATCATTCGTCGCGGTGAATTTAGTTGACGTACAAGCAAACTGGGCCAGTAGAGATGGATGAAAAGACGAGGGAGGTTCTGACGTATTCACACTAGCAGTGAAAAAGGACCATTTGTCACTTTGTGATTAAAAGATTAATTTTACTTACTTACAAGTTGTGCCCCCCAGATCTCCTTTTTTATGCTTTTTTGTGTTCCAAAGAGTTCTGTCAATTATTCCCACACAAATGGCATCATTCCCACTTAGATTTTGTGAGGCGCATCTGGTTCTTTAATTCCTAACCCTACTTCCAATTCAAATGGGACCCAAACCCCTGCCACTGGATATCCAAAGTTATATGCCAAGCTCTTTGGGAATATATTCTTTGCTTTTTTAACTTGTAGTATGAACCCACATTGTTGCTTGATGCAAAGATTCAACATTGATGGATTGTATTGAAGCAAACTTGATTAAGGTCCAAAAAGTGTGCACATCCCTTTGAGGTTTGCTTGCTTTGTTCCATGAAAAAATGTGATGTTCGGGAATCTTTTTGGCACAAGAGATGATTTAGAATACAAAGTGACAAAAATTTTGGAAAAAAAAATTAAAACAATAAAAACAATCAGAACAATTAAAAACAACAAAAAATGAAGAATGTATTAGTTAATGATATAATATGGGGAAAAATTTGTGTGCATGAGTATTTGAGGTGATTGTTTTGAATTGATTCTTTAAAATGGATTTTATGATACCACATTGTGTGGTTGTGATATGAATTGGATTTATCATAGCCAATTTCTTTCAAATGTTCGATTAAAAAAATTGAAGGACCAGTGTAAGTTATCATGGTAACAAATAACTCCATTCATAATGTATGTGTTGCTTATAATTAATAGAGAATTTCACATATTTTGGATATGCTGAAAAAATAAGGGTAGATGATATATTTCAAGAATGCGTTGACTTTCTTTTTCTTTTTCTTTCTCTTTTAACATATTTGTAAAAATTAAATTGAATTTAAAAATTAATAAAGAGAAGAAAAAAAAAAAGGAGCAATGGTGCAGTTTGAAATGTGTTTAAAGCACATGTCAGGTATAAAATAGATGATATCACATTGTCAATTTTACTTTTATATTTGACTTTTTTAATATTACATTTATTGTGGTATGAATTGAGTTTGTCCTAGTCATCTACTTAGAAATATGCCACCAAAAACCACAATAACTGCAATTACTTATTGTAATACTATGTGGACCAATTGGGTGTAAAGTAGACAACAAGAATGAATTCAAAAACCAAAAATGGCATCAATAGTAGTGTAAAATTAAAAATGACATGTAGTATAACTTCTGTTACTTATCAAAACCAATAGTTTTGTAGGATAGAATATCAGATAATGAAGTAAAACAAAACCTCAAATGGAACCTTAAATTTGTGGTTTTTCATAAGCTCAATAACCCTATTCATGTTAAAACTAACTACAAAAAAACATGGCTTGCTATGTTTTCATGTTTATTTTTTGAGCTTTACTGAAAAATCATGACATTTAGTTGTGTTAGGCACACCTAAATAGTGGCATATCAGCTCAATTACAATCAATAATAAAACGGCTATCAATAGCATTGAAACACATGTACCCATAATAATCCAACGCTCTCTCTCTCTCTCTCTCTCTCTCTCTCTCTATATATATATATATATATAATTAATTTTCAATTTTTTTTTAACATTTGTGATTCACTGTGATGAGAAATTTCACAAACAACATTCTCAGGCTAATAATAACCCCCCCCCCACACACACACAAGTATTCTTTCAATTCGTTTAATCCTCGAATTTAAATGTTGAACTAAATCAATTCAAAATCCACAACTGTCGAGAAAAAATATATATAAAAAAAACAAAATAAAGGAAGAGACTGAACTCAGATTCAGGCACAGCAACTGAAACACTATTATTATTAGAAACGAAATATATGTCTAGGCCTGATATCTGACACCCCATGACCGTGTTAGATTAAGAAGAGTCCTGCGACGACACTTGTCACGACCGATCTGAGCCATCCCCAGTTCTACACGTGGAAGCACGGTAGCCTGGAAAGCGGTTATGTGCTCCCTTACTGGCTCCTTTGAATTGAGCGGCCATCGGTGACCGCGGGAAGATAAGCCGCGACATCGTATGAGGGATTTTTCGAGGATGTTGTTCATGGTATCATCCACCTTATTTCATCCATCCATATATAGCACAATATTGCCCCTTACCGCAAGGCAAAGCAAGGAATATATTGATCAACACATAATCCCATTAAATAAGCTCTAAAATGGAAAGAATCATGTTGGATGTGCAAGTGGGTTCTAGGCATTGAGGATGTGCATGCCCTAATTTCATCTAAAAAAACTATTTAAATTTTTTACACGATGGTGCTATTTCAAATTAATTTTTGGATTGAAGATTTATTTTATACATACATTTATATATATATATTATTGGTGCTGTGGTCAATTATTAATTAGGAACTACCAAAATAATCTTGACACTCATCAAACCAATGATGTGCCCATTGAAAAATACTACTTCAACCATTGTAATATATCACATAATTATTTATTCTTGTCTTATAACTGCAAGTTCAAAAAAATATTCTCTTAATATATGACAAGTTTTTTTTTGTTTATTTAAGGATACATGCTCTAAATTAAGTAACGTGTGCTATATATTAGGAAGACTTGAGCATAATAATTTTAATAACCCAAAACCATATAAAACTATCTTTAATAGAAAAAATTATATAAAATATTTAAACATATACATAAGAAACTTAATAAAATATAAAAGAATAATATAATGTTTTAGTATATATATAATTTTCAATAAAAAAAAACTTTGATTTGAGAAAAAATATTATATATATATATATATATATATATATTTACACATTGAATCTTAGAGATTCTACTCAATTATAGTTTTATTCTCGAATAATAAAATTTATTGTGTTTCAAAGTAATTGTAATTTTTAAAAATTATTTGTTGTGCATTACCACTATTGAAGAAGTGTATATATTTTGTTGTATAACTCATTGAGAATTCGTAATTGAAAAAAGAAAAAAAGAAAGTATAATATGATCCAAAGCATGTTGTAGAATAGTTATTTTTAATAATACATGATATTATTTGTTTTGTAAAGAATTATTATGAGTGTCTATTCTGCAATATATAATTTAAATCATCAAGATGATTTGTTCCAACAAATATCTATAAAATTATCAATTGAACTAAATTGTAGTTATTTTTTTCGTTATAGATCCAAAATATAAGCATTTCATAGATGTGAATGATTATAAAAATACATATGTAAAGGCTAATAAAACATGTTAATGTCCTAATATATTAAAGAACAACAACTCTATAGTTTGAAATATTTATAATGCAACCATCAAGTAAATACAACAACCTTATCCATCATAAAGTAAACATTACAACCTTATCCATCATGATGACCAAATCTTTGTAAACATTTTGGCACAAATATCAACATGGATTTTTGTGGCTCTATTTCTCTGCACTTAAAATAGCTTAGAATACTTATTTTTCAATGATCCGGATGTTGCATATGAAGTTGCTTTACAAGTGTGGCAATAGTTTAAAGCCAAAAGTTCACAAACCATAAAATTAAATAAATAAATCCACATGTGTTGTGGAGGAAAATTAGATATTTCTTAAAATTGGATAGATGGTGTTATCTTATTATTACTTTTAGACTACAACACCTAAGTTTACAAAGTATCACCAACATTAAGTTGATTAATTAGTCACGTGATTTCTATGATGTTACATAAAATAGTGTCTATGCAAATTCACAAAGATGGTGCTTGTTCTATAACATATATATATATATATATATATATATATAGAATTTGCATAATTGTTTTGACATTGTAACAGAGGTAATTGTTGCAACATTGTTTTAAAAATATATTGTTTAAATGTTAATATTCAATTATTGCTAATTATATCTGAGATTAAAATAATTTAATTATGTAATTTTTTTTATAAATGCAAAGTATTCACACTGATAAAATTTGAGACTACTTTTATCAACAGTTTTTTGTTAAATTGTTTTGATCTTTTCTATAGGAACTTTGTATGTGGCAGTAGTTATACTATTTTGCATTGTATTGCTGGAAGCTATTAAACTTCTATAAGAACCCAAAAATAGATCAGGTAAATGTCCAACTTAGTTATTTTTTGTTTACCAATAAACAATTCGAACCTTGAAATATATTATCCTTCTATCAGCTGCAAGTCGTGAGACCATTTTATACATTAAAGCTTATGCCCACATCATTTTTGAATGACTTCCATTAATAAAAGTCACAATTACACTTTAATCAAAACTTAAACTTATTTATTATGTGAATGAAAAAAAGTTCAAAATTATTATGATTACAAAAAATTACACAGCTCAATTCAAAAAAAAATTAGAGATCTTATAATAATAATAATAATAATAATACTATTTTATTTTTTAAAAGTTGATGTTTGAAGTTAATTTATGAAAGTTCTAGATAAATAATTTTATTATTATGATTCATTTTTATTATGACACAATCTTACAATTTATCAAAAACCTTATACCACCGATAAAAAATAAAAAAATAAAAAAATACAACAATGGTTTTGGACGATTTATTAAGCAGTTTGTTTTCAGCATGAATTCTTACCAGATTACTATAAAATAACTATAAAAAAATAATAAATCTTACCATTCAAATTTATTATATTGTCTTTTAAAAGGTTTCATAAAAATCGATCCTTAATGTAATAGTCTCTAAAATGCAAATTCTATTTGCATTTTGAATACTTGCTATTAATTAGTTAATTTATTATCTTTTAATCATTATAATCTAAACAGGCAATGAGATTTTGTCAATATAAATGGTTGATAAGGGATCCAATATTAAAATTAAATTAAACTATCTTAAATATAATATGATTCAAAATTAGTTGATGATTTGAATTTATGACATTTTATACAACCCAACACTTGTAATGATGAAAAATAAAATCTGTGTATATTTATTTAATAAATTTTTATTTTATGATAAATATTGGCAATAATATAAAAATCATATTTATAATTAGATAAATAGCCAAGTTTAAATTGCAAACATTATTAAATTCTAAATTTCAAAAACCAACTAATAATTAGGCTTCAAACCCATTACATTAAGAGTGCTTCATTTTTATAAAATATTGCTGAATTAATATACAAAGAAGAAGTCATTTCATTTTAAATTAATGAATTTTATTTATTAAAATGCTTACACAGTATTGGTAAAAATGGCCATAGAATTCGTAAAATTATTAATTACAAAAGAAAAAAATTCAGTTAATAAATCTATTTTAAAATAATAATAATAACACATATTTTATCTTATAAACAATTTACATGAAGAATAAACCTACTTTTTATGTATGAATTTTAATAAATTAGTAAGAATCTTGATTTTTTTTATTTTATTCTATTTAAGCATAAAAAAATTCCCATGAAATAAGTTGTCTTCTAAGATTACATCAATATTTCTGTGGATTTGTACATTGTTTTATTGGACATTATATTAAAAAAATCAAATATATGATTGACTTTAAATCTATTGTTCTTTTGGATCATTAAAAACAATACTAGATAAATTTAAGTTATTTAAAAGAAGTACAAAAAACACCTTATTTTATTACTTTAATTCTAATTCATTAAGTCTAATCTTATTTTTGTGTTCTTTTCTTTAGCTTGTTCATGCACTTTTTGGGTTAATTTTTGTATTGTTTTGTTGTTTTAGTACATAAACTGTAAATGTATTTCTCTAACTCAATTACAAAAAAAAAATGGATGCAAGTAAATACACGTGAAGCCTTTGAATTTTAAAAGAAAATTACACAAGTTATTGTACATAATATACCACCCTAAAAATTTGGTGATCTTTCAATCAGATAGATATTATTTAATTGATGTACTGTTTCAGAAGAATGACTTCGAAAGATTCATCCGTGTAAATTCCACTAAGCAAGCACAGATCTTACGCTTTGAATTTGGAGTTTCCTACACGCTTGCACAAGCTTCAAAAGATCGGAAAACTCCAGGGCTGAAACTCTCACTCTTCATGACGGAGTTTAAATGAAACAATGACCATCATGTAAAGATGGATAATCAAACTAAAGAGAGACTACGGCAGCCATGATTAAATGTACAAGGAAAGTACCTAAGGGTAGAAGGGAATCGAAGGAACCGGAAGGCCAAATGTAGGGATTGAAGCCTGTTTACAATGAATAACCCATGGATCTTACCCAGATCAAGGTCAAAGTCAGTTCCAGCGTTTCAAGTCTCTGGAGATGATCGTGGCCAGGCCTCCGAGAGGGGGCTTCATCAATGCTCTATACGCAGCTTCATCATATGATACCTGTAGAAACTTAAAGTAAGGTCTAAAAGTTTCGAAACTTCTTGGTTTTACTTCATTAGTTACAGTAGTTTCATTCTTCTTTTGTGGGTAGAAGATAGAAACTAAACCATCCCATGTAAGACCTTTAGCTCGTTTTGGTCGTGCGGGCACTGCTCCTGGCATTTCAGGTCGACTGAAAAGGTCTTCGTCATCATTTCTGAAACTCCCAAGTTCGTCATCTTTTAGATTGGGTGACAGACAATTGATGGGACCAGCCACAGATCGGAACGAAAAGGATCTTCTTCTCAAGCTTGATGCCACTTCCGGTCCCTCGGACAACTTGCAAGATGACTTATCCTCGTTTCTATTAGGAACTCCATCAAATGTTGTTTCCAGTAGTGTGATGTCAGCTGAAACCGCAAATCAACACGGAGAGTAAATTCATCGCACAAAATTCATCTTTATCAAAATTTAATGAACAGAGTTGATGACAACTATGCGCGTTCCCCCGTCAACCTGTTCAAGTTTATCAGACACCGCCATGAACTCATAAGCACGATCCAAACTCTCAACTTGCTGATCTTTGATATTTTCATCTAGACATAGTATTTGATAGAGGCCAGGTTAAAACCTGATTTAGTTCTGAAAGGAACCGAAGAGCTCATATGCTGTGCACAAAAGCTGGCCGACCTCCTCCGAGTATGCTTAGAAAAAGGTTTTGTTAAAAACGAATCTTTTGAGGTATCCGATGGTCTTGGAACCACAAGATAATTTCTGGAATATGAAAAACTGAACTTGCCACTCGCCGAGTTGTCAAAAAAAGTGCATATCCCCTGTATTCCAAATCCAACATGTCAAGCCTCCGCTAAAGGATACGAGTACAAAGTTGTCCCTGACAATTGACGTCGACCACTAAATATATTTGATCCAAAACCATTCCCTTGAGCTTGAGACATTCATCTCACCTTCCAGACGTAGTATAACATGGCAGGTGCATCAACGATGAAGGCTTTGGCGAGCCTCTCCGGGTAATGATCAGCAAGAATCTTAAGAGAGGTGAGAATGCCGCTAGTCCACGGCGCACGTATTTTTGAGTAACCTGTCCAAGTAATGAACGTGAATTATGATGGATACACCCCTACTGGGAGGGCACGAGGCTGTTCTCTTTAGCACTATCATGTCGACTTTATTATGTTATTTAAAGCACTCCAGCCGAATTAAGTCTTAGTTTCTGATAAAAGGCCAGAAGATAGCATAAACATCCAGTCACCGACGCCACATGCAAAGTATTCAGTGAGAAATATGCCCTAAAAATCATTTCGGTCTAAAGTGAACAACTTCGTTTCATGATATAAACAACCATCCACTCATAACATATTAGAAAAACACGAAGATTATGCGAGGGTCGGAAACTGCGTACCTCCTGTATCAACGATGAGGACCCACTGGGTTACTCCTGGAGGCATAGCAGCAATCGCGACCTCCATTGTAAAGATTAAATAACGGAGATATCTGTCAGCAACGCGGACTGGATTCAAGATAAATCTACAAATTTTACCTCCTTCCATAGTGATGAAGAAGCGAGTACAATCAGGAGTATAAGCAATCAACACCAACACTAAGTCACATCTTCACTTCTGGCCACGAATTGCAATTTTGTTGAAGCAGCTCCTGACACCAATAATTTCAGGTCTAGAGACATGTGCAGCATCGACAGATGTCAACGAGTTAACAAACTTACTCTTTAAAAGTTTTATTAAGTATGTACTCGGGCTTTTTTTTTATCACCTGCACTCTCAAAGACAGAATAATATCAGGAAACAGCCAACACATTTAAGCTTTCACGGAGCAACTATTGGCCGAAAATCCCGGGTGTTCTGGCATTGACTCGCAACTGCTAATGTTGATTCGCATCGGGCATATTCACAATTCGAAAGATTGAGCGTGGCAGAAGGAGCCTTTGCAGCAGCAAAAACATAATGCAACTGCAAAATGATGAGGAGGAGATCCCTCTCGATACGTCCTCCTGGTATTCTAGAAGTTAAAATGAACGCGCATGAAAGCTACACTAGGATCATCTGATCTCCTTCGTCAATTGTATGAATCGCTTAAAGAGGAGCAACAAAATACTTCATTCATTTAGACTGACTCACAACGTACTTGGGCTCAGATTTTCAGCACATACGACATTATCACAACAGAGACAGGTAAAAAGATTACGACAGCGGACGCAGAAAACCTCTTGCTCGAGAGGGACAGCACACATGAATCGCAATTGCGACAAGACTACAACTGACAGAAGCCTGTGAACCTCAACGGATATTCACTTGCAGAAAAAACATGGTATGACTTGTCAGTAATGGCGCTTGGTCACATCGAATCCAAGTAGTTGTGCAGACTAATGAATAAATAATAGACTCGAGGATATAACGCAATTTGTAGTCGACGCCCAGTTTCAGAACGTCCTGTTCACAGTCAACCATGGCAAAATATGAAGATAAGGTGACTACCAATAAAACTTTACCAAAACAGGTCGACCCTCGTCGTCGTAACCTGCAACATACGCAGCTCCTACAGCCAGTTCCGCTGGAAATTCGTCCGCAATCAAGTAGTCTGTAATCGAGCAATTTACTTCAAATCATCCCAGGCAAAAAAAGCATTAAACTTGGACCTTGCAATAAGATTGTAAACTAATAAAAAAATGTTCTAGTAAGGCAGCTACCGATGCTAATCTTCTCGCGCCAATTCAGAGTAGCTCTCAGCATCCTTGCTGCTCTTGAAACGTTTTTCCCATGAGCTTTCAGGTAGCGCATCACGCAGGCATCGTCACAATAATCCATCTGCAGATATAGGAGCGCCCAGAAAAAAAGTAAGTCTAAGGTCGCAATCCACAACCAGCGCTACGAAGAATATGAACAAAAATCCACGAAATTTCTTCGCTGGGCAATTTCCTACAACTATGTTCACTCCGAACTCGCCAAAAATTTCTAGAAAAAGGTGCAGCGAAACTTGCTGTATCGACAAGAAGCAAGCGTCGCACTCGTCAACGAGTTATCATCAAGGAAATGCCAACTCAAGGAAGCTTACACAACGATCCTGCGAGATTATTGAGTCCCAAGCTAGAAATAAAAGTATATTTTGCCAACATTTTCAGTCAGAGCCGTGCCTGTTTCTTAGAGAGGAGTCCATCTTTCTGCACGAGTTGCAAAACCTCTTTCACCATTTCACTCAAGGAAGCCTCTGGTTCCACCTTCGCTGGATGAACCATTACAGAAGAACTTCGCTCCATTGCTTCATTCCAATGCAATAACTCCAACAAAGCACAATCGCGCCCTACATTTCTGCATTTAAGCCGCCAGAGAGAAGTACAACCGTCACAAAGAAACACGAGAACTCCCCCTTTGCAATACCTCCTTTCCGTGCCCACCTCGACACATCCGCGACCGAAACCGAAACGAGACCTGTTTCAAAAATTAATTCAATCCCAGTGTCGAACTGCAGTCACGCCTCTACACGGCGCTCCCCGGCTTCAAAAATCGATCCCGCCAATCCAACACTCCACCTCAATTCATCACCTCTCTCCGCAAAAGCCACGACATCCGTAATAACATGAGCAACCTTTCCACGAACAAGAACTCTCACTCATCTGAAACGACGACACGAAATCTCACTCCACACTCGAAATCTGCATACTCCGAGCGCCCTGCACTGAAAAATCGCATCCGAACACCTCGCAACGACGCGACACGACTGCAGCTGGGCAAGAGCAGAAGTCTTGACCCGAACAGGGGAGATTCAAATCCGGCTAGGGAGCAGAAGCATCAACATCTGGGTAACATGGCGATGCCCCGCCCCCGCCCTCGAAGAAGAACCGTCCCCATCCACCCATACCCCGCGCACCACGTTCCCGGTGGATAGAGCGGGTAGGCGGGCAGGTGCGCGCGGGGGCCGATGCCGTGGGGACTCGTCATCCCTCTCGCTGCGTTGGTTGGAAGAATGTGCAGGACTGCCTGCCATTCCTGGCCGGGTGGTGGATTTGTAACGCAAGCCGCCAGCGGGTGAACACTTTCCCCGTGCTTATTAAAAGCCGGGCGTGGGTGTTGTTGGAGTCGGAGAGATCTGGACGGCGACCACTGGACATGAGTGATCGCCATTCTCGGAAGCATGGAGTTCTGTCGTATTCGGGACGATCGTTTCCGTGAGAGAGGGTGAGATCAAGACTGCAATAAAGTAAAAGTCAAGGCAAAAGTAACCGGGATTGGGGAGTGGCGAGAACCTCAGCATGCTCCACGGCTTGTCGCCTTTTTATATCCACTTTTTCCTTATTTTTAAAATAAATAAATAAATAAATAAATATATGTATGTATATACATAATTTTTTTCAAAATGTAAGATTTTTTTTAAAATGCTTCATCATCACAAAGAATTACAAGCTATTTATTGATACTAAAAACCTAAAATTATTGTTGCTTATTAAGAAACATTAGATAAAAGTACCTACACCACAAAGGATCAATTCTAGGGCATTAAATTTTCTAGTAATGTATAAATATATCTACATGCACAAATAACATAAAAATAAAAGTAGAATATATATATACAAATATAATATTTACTTGAAAAAACATGTCTCTCAATTTATTTATTTTTAATCTAAAACGTAAATATGACAAAGTATGCATTAAAATCTTTAACTGCGAAAACCCATTGCTGTACACTAATTAGAATTAAACACCAGAATTAGTATACAAAAAAATAAGATGTGAAGGCCAGAATTATTGTTATTCAGGATTTATTCCAATATGTGAATGTAATTTTAATTAGAGTGTTTAATTTTTTGTTTTATTTTCTCATAAATGAACCTTGTTGTTTGTTTGTTTGTTTGTTTGTTTTTTTTTCTCTTCAAAATTATACAGTTTCTAATATCCATTTTTTTAAAGTATTATTGCAATCACAATAAATTAGAAATATAGTTTAGAAAAAGAAAAAGAAAAACTCTGTTAAGTATATATTTAACTTTTCAAATGGTTCAAGTTCAAATATTAGATACAATCTTTTAATTACAATAGACTTATTTATATAAGTTAATGTATAGATATGCATGTTTAAAAGTTAAAGATAAATAATATTATTCATAGATTAAATAATATTTTTCCTTTAAAAGACATTAATTTTTTCTTTCTTAAATGTAAATTGGACCTTTAGATGTATTATGTAATTACAATACCTTTTAAAGGAGTTTTTTTACTTATAAAGTTTCATAGAAGCCTTTTGTAAATTAAACATTTAGTGGCTTGTTAGAAACTTCTTTATGGCCTTTTTATTAATTAATATATGCAAAACCAAGACTAAGGCCATCTTCAATTATATCAAATTATTTTTATTTTTGTTTATAATTTTTTAAATTTATAAGCTTAATTAAAGACTATTTTACTTATATATAGTCTTTTTTATTCTTTCTCCATTATATATGGAAAAAAAGATATATGTTTATTTACTTAACAATATATACAATATTTTTTTCAATTAATATACTTTATAATTCCATCTTGAATTCTTTAAATGTCTTCATTGCTTCATTTACTTTTCATGATATTTATTGAAGTTTTAAATGGAAATAAAATATTTTTTTAATGCATCTTGGCTTTTAAAAATATATTGATTCATCAAGAATTTAGCATTTTATGACATTTTTAGAAGATTATCCAGCAAACAATTTTTTTATATTTATATATATATATTTGTACTTTTTATATGTATATATGTAAAAGGTTTGTGCCAATGTAACAAAAATCTTAGGAATTTAAAATTTGAGACTAAGCCCCAATATCTAGTATCAATCTTCATTGCATTCCGAATTCCATTCTATCAGGACAATGGGCTTATTTCTAACTAACCATAAAAACTTGAGCAAATCTAATCATCTAGAGCCCTCACAGATCCTAACTTTGTCAAAGGTGAAGAGTATATTATCTATCCAAGAAAAGAAAATATAACTAAATATCTATATAAGTATGTGTGTATGTGTGTGTGTGAAAGTAAATGGAATAATGTGAGAAAACACACATACATATACAAACAAATATAGCCCAATAAGAAAAAAATGACCATTTGAGCTTGTGCCCTGTAAGACATGAGGTAACTAAGCAGATCAAACATTAGCATAGATTTCATGTGGTGATAGATTCAGCACATGTGAGTTTTTTTTCACCAGTTTTTGGTAGCCATTCTAATTACAGTAGAAGGCACGTCCATAAAACACACATGCACCATACCAATTAGTACTCTAATACAAAGATCTAAGAAAACAATCTTACCACCGACTCATAGCCCTGAGCTCATGAGTACAAATACAGACTACGACCAGATTATTCATACATTGTACTTGACAAACAAGACATAGATACTAAGTTTCAACCTACTAAGACAAAGAATAAAAATAAAAATACAATTGCTATTAACATAAGTTTGAAGAAATACACAAATAAATCCTTAGAAATAAAGTTAATTAAGCATTGCAAATATCACAAAAAAATTATATGTATAGAACTATGAGATACTACAGATGAACTCAATTGCGTTTGTGAGCATTACCATAGTGTTTGATTGGAAGCAATGCTGCGGTTGAGGCAAACAATCTCCAACACTACACACTGCAATACTGCATAACATAAACATGATGTAGCATTTGAGTTTCTCATTAAATGTAGCCATTTAGACTTTGATGTGATTGCATACTATTCCTTTGCAAAACTTAAAAAGAAATTTTATTTTTCATTAAGTTTTTGTGAACTACAACAAAGAGAAATATATACAACCAATGAGATTGCTATTTTGTCCATGCAAGACATTGCTAAACCCATTTACATTCAGTTAAACTTCCTTTTAAACTCCAGACAACATTATGTTTTTTGATGAAAACCAAAAAAGGTGCATGCAATGAATAAGAGCCACCACTTGTCTCCTTGAGTGATCTTAATATATAGATAAATAAATAAATCAATATATATTTTAAATAAAAAATAATTTAAACTTTTTTATACATATCTACACAAAATATTGTAAATCTATTATATATATATATGTAAGGTCTTTATATTTAGAAGAGAAGATGAGAGGTCAAAACTTTTAAAACTTGAGATGAATTAAAAATAATTAGTTTTTTTAACTTATTTAGTTTTGCACTTAAAAAAGAAGTAGCCATGAAACCATAAAATTTTTAAAAAATAAAATGATTAAAAAAATGAATATTTTCCCATCTATATAATAAAAAAAAGACAAAGAGACAAATAAACCTTCTCATTGGCCAAAATCAAATTCACCCTTAACCAACAGAAAGCCCTACATAACCTGGAGAAAGACCTGCAATTTACTCCAGTGTACGGCTTCTATGTGCTGAAGGGAGTGGGTTTAGGGTTTTTGCTAACATGATAATAATATATGCAACATTGTCTCCTAAAATTTGCAGTAGTCTCCTAAAAAGAAACTGGGTCAGACCTGATTCGTGGATGAATAGATCTCTACATCCAAAGCAAATTAATCATTCATCGTCCTCGGGAACTGGAATCGGGTCAGAGCTTCTTCCGCAAGTCGGCAATGCGCAGGACACGGCACTCCGTCATCGCCTGAGACCTCGAGAGTTCCATGACCCAGTTGGGGGAAATTGTTCAAACCCCTATCTTCATTGTCGGATCCACTGATTCGCCGTGCACAGTAACCTCATATGTTGTTTCTATAAATTCCAACGGGAGGAATATGATTCACTTCATTGATGTTAGATGTATTTCTGTTGCCCCCACAACGGAGAAAGAGCGTGCAATTTGCAATACTAAGGTTGAATTTCAGGTCGAGGATGTTGGGTTCGCGTTGAATCGTCATCAGTAGGCAGCCCACAAGAGAAATTCTCCACAATGCAAACCAATCCCACCACCCAACTAACAATTCAACCGCTGGCTTGGCCGCCGGAGCTAAGGTGGAACCGACCATTAAATTAATGGGATAAAAGGAGCCTACTCACCGAACCCAACGCTTGTCTGCTCTGCAAATTGTTGCCTCGCATGAGCTTCGATGTTTGCGAGTTCAGATTGGCAACTTCGGTGGGGACCCACAGCTTTTTCTATTAATGTGAAACGAATCGCTTTTGGAAATAAAGGTTTTCTCTAATCATGGTGATGTAAAATGGATGCTTATCATTTTAAGGAGATTCTATTTGGGAGTAGCTGGGAATTTATATTCTTGGAAGAAGAATCCATCAACTGTGTATGTCTTTTTCATTGTTGAAAATGAGAATAAATAAATATATATATATATATATAGATATAAGATTCTTCGGTGTCTTTGGTATCAAATAAAACAATTTCATATTTTATTTTGTGGGTTTTAAGTTTTAAGAGACAATAGAGTCGTAGTTGAATATTGTGGAATTAATATTCAATTTCTTTATCAAATTGTTAAAAATTTCAAAATCAAAGATACGAAATTCAATAATCAACTTAATGTTTTATATGTTTAAAATATGCAAATATATATATATATATATATATATATAGTTGAGAATTCTGTAGTGTTGTTTAATTAGATTTATCATGTAAATTGACTATGCATGCTAACTTACTTTAAGATGATAATATATTCAAAAAATAATACAATATGTAATGCAGTGTATTTTAAGAATTATTCCTTTTAAATAGAAGTAATTATTATTTTCTTCTAGAAAAGATAATATAGATTTAATATTTTATATTTAATAAAAATAAGTAAAAAATAATATGTTAAATTCAGTTGAAAATTTCTCAATACCTATGGCATAAAATATAATATATGTGATGTGTTAAAATACATTTTTCCAATAAAAGAATCTCCGCTCAAAATATAAATCGTCATTTTTACACTACAGAGATCTATATAAAACATTGAGGGTTCAAACACATTTATTTTTTAGTTGCTGAACACTAACTTTTTATATATATATATATATATATATATATACAATTAAAAGCTCAAGACAATGCACATGTGTTTTAAATAAAAATCATAAAGAAATAAATCTTCTCATAAATTCTTACACTAAATTGATTTATTTCTATGTTCTAAATATAACATATTATTTTTTATGGTACATTATAGAACAATCTCACACAAATTGTACCATATCCATGAATTTTGTCGAATTTTTTGAAAGAACATATGGGAATATTTCACAATTAATAATCCCGTCCCATTATTTTCTCCTCTTAAATATTTACCATAGTCGAGGGATACATGAAAACTTAAAAGAAAATCCTCCCTTGTTGTTGGACAAGCTAAACTTGCCCACGCAAGCATAAAACATGGTGGAGTTGTCTAAGGTATTGAGGCTTTGAGGATGTGCACACATGGTCATTATTTAGGTACATTAATCCCCTTGGGGAGCTTGTTTGTACTCATCTAATATTTGCTTCAACAAAGTTCATATGTGGTAATAAATTAAAGAAACAATGTTCGAATTGGTGAGGCGATCTTATACACAATCTCCCATGTATGTATGTATTTAAAGAAAGAAATAGACCCTCATGGGTGGTGAGGTCTTGACTCCAAATGAGCTCCATTTGAAAAAGTCGGCCTACCATATCTTAAGCCTTATTTGGAAAAAGTCAAAGCTTGGCTTCCATGTAGCTTCCTTTGTTTATCAATCTTGCATGTATGAATGAACTCTATGAAAGGAAATCTTGTTTCAAACAATTCCATGGGGTCTATTGAAGCAAGCATGGTAAAATTTTATCTTGATGTTTCAATAACATATATTATGCATAGGGATATTCATTTAATTAAAGTTGACATGGTACCTGGGTCAAATCCTTGTAGTGAACCTCAATTGATTATAGTTGTGTTGAGCTTTTAAATATATTTTTGGTAAAACTGATCATTTCAGTGGAGCATGTAAGGGTGGTTTTAAGCCTGAGCTTGGTTTCAACTTCTTGCTTACAAGCAAATATACCTCTTGCTGTTTCCACCAAGTTCTGTTTTCCAGTAAGATACAAATTCTTGCTTGCAGTATTTTGTTTTGTTCCACTGCTAGTTTGGGTCACTGTGCCAAAACCATCCTCATCTAGTATGTTGATTTCTGTGTACCTCAAAGTTGATCTCATAAATGAGGCTACTTGCCAAAGCTCATGGCAAACAAGTTTGCACAGTTAAAATGTGGATCATGTGCTATGCATTGACTAGTTTTGTTTTTACAGATGCAGGTTTTAGGGCTTGTAACTTAGGGTTCAGAGTTGAGTCCTCTTTGGTAACCTCAGCTCTCTGAAAGCTTTTCTCTTGTTTTCTTCAGTAAACATCTGGATGTTGTGCACCTAGAGCCATTTAAATATCTCAGGAGACTGACATGAAGATGGCTGGAGTAGGTTGAGATAGTGAAAATGCTACCAAAGAGTGCTTAGCACAGAAGAGCAAGATTCACTGAAGTATCAATTCAAGGTCACGTTTTAGGGTTTGAATACGATCTACTGCAGATGATACTTTACTCAAGACCCACTCATCACAGTAACTGGTTACCAAGTCACTAGGAACAGTAGCCGAGATCAGTAGATTTTTCTGGAGAACTTGGGTTATGTTGGACATTAACATTTTATTCAAGTGGGATTTCTGTCATCAAGAGCTGAGAAGTATAACCATCCTAGGTGGTGTGTTGGTACAAAATCTGCCTTTTAGGATCAGTAATGAGACTTTCATGTTCCTGAAGTAAAGTGGAGTTAGCTTAAAGCCAATCTATGACACAAGGAATCTGAGGACTGGAATAGATCAAACTGCTCAGTCATTTATTTGTTGACTTGACTTATCAGCTCTTGTGCTCATGGCCTGATGAACACATTCTATTCAACGTCACCACCCTTCAGAAAATTCCACGGTCCAGTAGCTGTACCAATTCTGTAATCACCAGTTGAATGTTAAATTTTCACACTGGGGTCAATAGTGACCTGCTGAAAGGAATGTGAGTGAGCCATCTGTTATATTTAGGTCGTGCACTATCACAATCCACCAAGCAATTAATCACATGATAAACACGATTTGTCTGAAAGATGAAGTGGGAAGAGAAAGATACCTTAAAAATCCAACACCCAATCGTAGGCTCATCACTATGGTTAATCCCCACCATACCGCCACAATGCCCCAAAGATGAGGCAACACAAGAAGAAATGCAGCTGAAGGTACTGATGCCATTATCTACAAGAAACCGACACTCGCATAGTTCATGATTGGACACCACTCCCACTATTTCAGAAAGCTTATTCAAATACACTTCGCTAGATCTCACGAAAAAAATAACAACATAAGAAGAAAAGAAAGGACCCCTCACTACTTTACGCTTCATGGTTTTCTTTAGAAGTTGACGTGAATTATCATGCAAAACATTCATGAAGACAAGTGTACAACAGCCTACTTGAAACGGAAGCCCTTACCATTGAGTAAGCAGCATAAGGAAAGTCTGACGCTCCATAATGAATGCCATCAAAGACAAATGCTAATGAGTTGATTGGTTGAGTTAGAGCCACAAACTGCAGTGTAACAGCACCAACGTTATCTCAAAAACAACATTTACTTATTGCTGGATTCTTTGCTCGCATAAGAGACCTCATCGGCACACGCGATGCCACAGTTGATACGCTTCTAAACTGCTTCAGCTCTTCAAATGTACAATAAACGTTAGTGAAAATGTTAATAGTAAACATAATAATAAGGTCTTAACCATGAGCTTTAAGACAGCGTGGCTGTAGACTTGACACACACGTCGTCGCCTCTAAGATCAAGAAGGACATGGGAAAATGTGTGGAGTGGCATACGTGAATGAGACGCTTGATGACAGCTAAAACATCAGCATCTGTGGTAAACAATCTAGAGAATGCAGACAAGGTTGCTTCCAATAACAAGGCCACGAAAACTCCAAAGACGAATCCAATCTGCAATGGCATGTTCAATGTATCGCATTATCAGCTATTAGAAGGACAAAGCCACCTGCTTGGAAATACCAACCATATTGTTAGGACCTTATTACTCAGTATTCATCAGACTAAATCCTAACTAATTCATTTAGTGATTAACAGATACCATATCACGAAAATCATCATCTTTCTCAGATATAGAAACTTCTGAGCAATACTCAGGTAATAGAAAGGTTTCGACAAAAAAACAACCTGTAAGATCCGAAATGAAGCCTCTCGGACGCGGATGTTATCGAGCTTGGCAAAGGCAGCAGCAATTATCGCCTGCATTCATAAGCGAACCATGAAGATATAAAAGTCGTCTATAGCCTGTTTCCTTCTGTACTTCCACCTGTAGCTCAGACTGAATGTATGGGTAGCGACATCACTCAATCAAACAAATTGCACGAAAGAGTGGGGAGTGACATCTTTGAAGAGATGTGATCTCTCTCATACCTGCCCAGCCAACGCAATTGAGTCAGAGAGAAGGGATGCCGCAAGCCATATTTGCAGGCAGATTTGATGGCCTGCCATCTGAATAGGGCCTTGTCTTGCAGCCATCGATGTTGACAATGTCATGACCAAGAGAATAGCGACGGTCCTCGCCAGCAGATACCCTCCTACATCATGATCAGAAAAGTAAACATGTCTCACATTTCCTAATTCAATCAGAAGGTGATGGAGGGGGCGGAAGAGAAATTGACTCACCTGATTTCAAGAACCGACCCAGCCGCAACTCTTCCATGCGTGGTGGTAATAAAGTCACCTTCATAGCTAAAATCCAAAGTAGAACTCCTAAAACCACAAACCTGCCCCAGACGACGTCACAATACACCTGTTCAGAAACCTGTTACATTGTCAAGCACGATTGAAGCTGAAAGGATGAAACGATACCCAAAACACCGTCACTTACTGTGAAACAACCGTCGCAATCGCAGCCCCGCTTACACCAAGCTCTAGAGTAAATATGAGAAGAGGATCGAGAACAATGTTGACAACGTTTCCCGTCACTGCGACACCACTAAGAGCGTAAGTATTCACCCCAAGGCTTCGAAATTTACCGCGTACTCAAAGTAGAAACTTGAAAACGCTACTGCAGTGGCGGCTGAAGTAACATAATACTACTTACTGGTCGCATACAGTGGAGTTTTGGTATCCATGAAACCCCGGAAAACACCCTGAACAGCCAGGGCAACTACCACAGCTGGAGCGCCGACAGCTTTCAACCTCAAATACTGAACAGCTGGTAGTCGCATTGGTGATGACTGAAAATTTTCAGTTCGATATCAGTACGGTGTCCAAAATCAGTTCCAAGAATGCAGATTGGTATCTGATCACTAAATGAGACCTTATATTCTCATGGAAAGCATACACTCCCATCAGCTGACAGTTTACGTCCAGTGACTAAGCCAACGAGTCATGTGAATCTACAGAAAGAAAACTTGATTTGTACTTCTCCAAGTCCCGAAACAATCACCACGAACTACTCCTAGAGAAAGCGAGTATATGGATGACAGGCTCACCGAACCAACACCCATCACTGTCAAAATTGGTCCTGCTAGAAAAGCAAGAATAAAAGCTTCTCCAAGTCCCAAAATTGCTCCAACGACCAGTGCGGAAGAAATTGAAGGAAGACACGGCTTTTCTGCAGGCATATTTGCTTCTGCAATTTCGCATATCTCCCCGTTGTCGTTCAAACCTGGCAAAAAGCATCACATGCATTGGTATTAGGTATAAAATAAAGTGATTTACATAATATGTTGCGCAAATTCGCTTGCACGGTGCAGTTAGACTCACTTTCTACAGAAAACAGGCCTTTCAAGACAGGTGAGCTGGGCTCCAATGGGAAGTCGGTGAGGACCGCTTTCTGCACAGCGTCCTCAGCTACAAACGATGTTGTGATGTTCAGAAGTGGCAGGTTAAACATCTTCGATACCAGGTTAAATATAGAAATAGAAACACCAATTGCTCCAAGCTCCACCGAACCTGGAATCCAGACGGTGTCAACTTAGTACGTTTCCAGAATCAGCGATAAAATCGTTCAGATTAGCTCATGATGGAAAAAAGACCAGTGTTAACGGACGATGAAATTACGAAGGCCCTAACTACAGCAATACAATGTGAGGATCCCTGTCTTTCGACACACCGCCACTTCGAAAACCTTCATTCCAGAACGACATCCAATTCAACTACGTTGTCGTCAAACCCACTATTCGAATCCGCATTTGTAACGAAAGTTGGATCATTTGCAAAGCTACGTCGAACTCTCGTTTTAGTTCCTACACACATATCTGTTCATGGATAATTGAAAATAGAAATCATGAGATTGCCAAGCGCGTAATACAGGAGACAGCTATCAGGACCCTTGGGTAACAATACCTATGTGTCCAACAAATGCTGAGTCTACCAACGACGCGATCGGGTCTGCTGCCAGAGCCAAAAGTGCTGGGAATGCGATATTAGCGATCTCCTTCCCGATCTCGTCAGCTTCAAAAACATTGCTGCGTCAACAGAGAACTCGAATAAGTTCAACGTGGAGGATACAGTTTCTTCGAGAACAGATAGCGCATCCTGAAACCGCGAAAAGCTGAAATTCCAAGCATAATTGGTCTTGCAATGACGAAGTTCCTACTTCTCACCGCAAGTTCTCAAAAAGTCCACTCAGCGGGTGTTTAAGCTTGATCATCAGAGATTCCTCCCTCTCACAGTGAGAGCTCAAAGACAAAGCTACCGTAGACTTCAAACTTTGAGGCATACTTTCAGAAGTCGCTATTATCTTCAATTCATTCCGCTGTGCCGGAAAATTTAGTGGTCGCCTCTTAATTTCTTGAAGTAAGAGTACCTGTTTGTGACACACCTTTACGTGTTGTCAAAATTTTAGCAGCGCCCAAGAATTAACTTAGACGCATGAAGTGACATCGCGAATCCGTTAATTATTACTTATACCCTATGTTCGGCCAATTTGTTTGGCCAGAAATGGAGTGTGGGATGTTGAAATGGCTAAAAACTTGTGACAACAGAAAACAGGCGCTCATTGGCGCCGCCACAGCTTTTCCAGTACCTGCATGATCACCATCCCATGTCATCAGAAAACTAAGCCCATCGCGTATGTTGAACGAGACGAGGAAGACATTGTGAGGGGTAGAAAAAGGGCCAACTTCAATAAACAGCTCACAGCTCAAACTAAATCGACACACTGGCTTTGTCAACATAGAATGCAGAACGTCACCGACACGCAATGAAAGCGTTCCCTCCCTCCCTCCCGTTACAAAATTGAACGCACAGAATACAGAGTGACTAACCTCAGAAACCAAAACATCAAGCTAATAAACGAGATGAATTATTCGCAGATTAGCCGTTGTTGTTGTAGCTGAATTAGACCCTATGCACTACAACAACAACGGCTCCTCACCAACAACAGATAAACAGAAATTATAATCACACTGCATCCACATTTTCTACCCCAATCACGCAACCAAGACAATTCAAATTCGGTACGCCTCCTAAACCTCCCAGGCTCAAATCCAACCAACTCTAAAACCCCACAGAAACCCGTAGTCACGGGACTCATTTCAGCTCTCAAGTGCCTAACACTCAGCCACCACATCATGAGACTCTCCCTCCAGCGAACTCAAGAACCACAAGGTCCACTTCAACTACCTCCGCGATGGCATGTCAAATTTGCCATCCGATGCAACCCGCTTTAATAACGAAACAACGAGGAGAGGTAGTAGATACAGGGTGGGGGAGGTTGAGGGTCCAGGGGACAGTTACAGCGGGAGATTGTTCAGTGAAGAGGCAGCAGGTGGAGACAGAGTAACCAGCAGCAGCAGCAGCAGCAGAAACAGAAGCAGCGAGTGAGTGAACCTTAATCCCAGACAGGCTCCATCTGATCTACTCTGCTCCGCTCGCCCCACCGTGACTACCACAGACACATCACGATTTGGCTTAACGCCTGCTTTCAGCCCCATACCCATCCCACCTCCACCCCCGCCCCCACCCCCCGATACGAATTGCGTGATGAGAGACAACTACAGCAACCCTCCGAAAAGACGAAGCTCGAATATATTTGTGCCGGAATGAATTATACCCTGGCCCCGCCCTTCTCCTCCTCGATCGATCCTTCCGCGCAACTCTCCCTCCCCTCTTCGCTTGCCTCGTGCCTCGGTTGTTGCTTCGGCGCTGCTGGTTCGGGGTCTTGTCCGAGCGCTGTGAAACGGCCGCCGGTTCCTCTTTCTGGTATCTAGGATCTGAGTGGATGAATTTTGGTTGGACGCAACTGAGCTGAATCTGTCGAATAGCGTAGATTCTGTGATAGATTGGCATAGATTTTGTGATGGATTGACGTAGATTCTGTGGGAGGCGACGTTCTTCGTGGACGAGGATTTTTGGACGAAGTTTGCTTTGCTTGAGATTCAAGGGGAACGATGAGTTTATTCATTTATTTATTTATTTTGAGGGGAATGTGGTTTCTGGTGAAGGAGTGGATTGGTTAATTTGGTGCAATTTGGATGGGTTTTATTTGGGTTGATTGGTGTGTATTGCTTCGTTGTTTCTTGTAGTCTTGTGTGAGAAATAGGTTCATGTTTTGTTAATGGTTTTTATTCCATACAAAGTGTAATTGCATGTTCCATATGTATGCTAGCCATGTATGTAATGTATGCCATGTGGGAGAATGTATGTAATTGCATGTTCATAGCCAGATTTTGTGATCAATTAAGGCTCAAAGTGCTGTGGGCCACCAAGACAACACACAAATTGTGTGACAAACACATCTTCCGACATGTCCATTTTATTAATTACTTTTACTTAACAAATAGGAATAAGATAGTGGTTTCTCTTCTTATAAATCTTATAAATATCTTTGTAAAATTATAAGAAAAAAAATTGAATTTATTTAATTTTCTTCATATTTTATGATATTAATTGTTGGACATCATCATTACTATCAATAGTATAATTATAATACTCAAATTTGTAGTTACAATATCCTTTAAGGATTTAAACTTTTCTTTTGGCATATAGAGGGATTTGAGATGTGCAATCCCTCTTCACATTGGAAAAAAAAAAATAAAATAAAAAAAAATACATACATTCTCCCACAATTCTTGAACACCTCTTGGCCTTTGGAGTGACTTGGCTTAAACGCTGTTTGAGAAGGGCCCAAAAATGTTCCATTGGATTCAAATCTGGAGATTGAGCTGGCCATCGAAGGAGCTGAAATGGCTGTGAAGAGAGCCAAAACTGAACACTTTTTGCCATATGTTTGGGATCATTATCATGTTGAAAAACCACCTTAGTAGGATCTAAGTTGTAATTCTGTGTGGTACTTTGTAAGTAGGTTTCTAAATTTTTTTTGTACAAGTGTTGCTCCATTCTACCTTCAATTTGATACCAAGCACCCGGCCAAAAAGCAGTCATACAACCCCAAATCATAATTGAACCACCACCATGTTTGACAGTTTGACTAACATTTTTAGGTCCAGGTCGTTCTCCTTCTCTCAACCAACACCAAGACCTACCATCTGAGTTGATTAGGTTAATCTTTGTCTCATCACTGAAAATAACCCGTCTCCAATCATCAACGGTCCAATTTTTGTATTTATGAGCAAAACTCAACCTTCCAAGAACATGTCTTTTGGCAAGTAGAGGCTTCTTTTGTTGCACATAAGCACCCAAACCAGCTTCTCTCAAATCACGCCTCAAGGTGATGTCTGAGAAGTGTTTACCCGTTTTTTCTCGAAGTTGTTTTGTAGCTGCACTTGCCGTTTTGAGACAACCAGCAGTGACAAGGTGCACACCAAGTCGCTTCTCTTGCTCTCCTAAAACCTTTGGACGTCTTCCTCTTTGCTTTTCTATTTCACCACTAATCTCCCTCCTCAGATGAGCTACTGAAGACTGACTCATTCCAAGTGAGTCTGCAACTTTTCTTGTAGAAACACCACTCCTAAGCTGCACCAATGCTTGGTGCTTCAATGATTCACACAACCGAGGCATAGAGATATAATTGACAAATCAACTTTCACTATAGATAGTACACAACAAGAGCAACACAACAAACAAAAAATGCCCTCAAATCTTGCAACAAGGAGTGTACATTGAAATTTCGAAATTCAGCAAGAAGAAGCAACCAAAACTGAGTACGCACGTCTGTGTGCTTCTACAACACTTTTCTCATAAACCCTACCTCAAATGATAATGAGATTTTTCATCCATGTAGAGGACTGGATGAATACACACAATAAAAAAGTAATTCTATCAATTGACTTATGTGTGAGTTGGAAGGATCAATGAACTATGAGTGTTCAGATTTTGTACTTGGTTTTGTTTGTCACTGTATATATCTATATATATTTGTGTGTGTGTGTGAAAGAGAGAGAGCAATGGAACCCACTTTCTAATGCATGTAGCACACTCAACATGGCTCACAAACAAATAGGAATATGAGCTATATCACCTGCCAAGCATTACCGTGTTCTATTACAGTGAATCACATGATAGGTTCAAGAGCCAGCAATGGGTCCAGCAGTACTGCTCAATACTAGATACCACAATCTTATCTTAAGATGCATGCTTATGCTTCCACAGTAATCTGGTAATGAATAATTGAATGAATATACAGACACACACACAAACTCGATATTATGAGTAGGGAGAAAAGCTTTTTTCTTCTTCCTCTTCCTTTGCATCAACATCGACATCGAGAAGTGATCATGGAGGAATATTCGAGGCGCTCACATGAATGAGTGTTTCCTGCTGGGGGCAACAGCTTCTCTGCTTTCGGAAAGAAGGCGAGGCTTTTCCTATTCTCGGGGCTTCAGTGATCATAGTCAGAGAAGCTTGGTTGCGTTGGGGCACGATTTCCACAAAAGGTTGATATGTGCCTAGCTTTTCATGTCGAAGGCGTCGTTCAAGCGACCCAACTAACTCATGTTCAGGAAACTGTGTCTACGGGTCTTCTCCCTGTCTGGCTCACCCAGTACACCTCACCGTTTGTGCGAGGTCAAAAGGACAGTGTATTTTCCGTTGTACTTCCTGTCTGATGGAAAAGCGCAACATACCATTCAGCACTTGTTGGGCGGAGAGAGGTCCAAGGTTTTTCTGTGATCGGTCGGTCATTCCCAGCCTTTGAGTGTGGAAGATGTGAATCTGTACTGTGAGAGGCCCATTCACGATGCATCGCCCTGGGCGTGAACTTGGGTGTCCACTTGCAGGGATATCCATGTGGGAATAGCTGCAATCGATTGACGGTTTTCACACACACAATTCGAACCTTCGAGGAGGATTTTGAGGTGGGTGGAGTTGCAGTAAAAAACAAGGCATTCCAGGGTGCGGAAAGTGGAAAAACTTGGAGAGAAAAAAGGAGGTGGAATTGTCCTTGCGTTCTGGCATTTTGGATTACCACCGCGTCTGCTGAAATCTGTGCCCATGACCAATGATCTCAACGTGTAGATCTGCTGGAATGCGGTGAAGTGACTGGTGACATCGTGTGTGTGTGTGTGTGTGTGTGTGTGTCTGTGCGCACAAATTTCATATGATTTGTCTTTCAGCTTCTCTGAAAGAGGTCCACCAATGGGCAGGTCTTAGTGCACACACAATCATGGACTTGTGTGCAGTGGAAATTTTGACTCTGCATGGCCTAGTCTAGTAGTTGTGAAGATGGTCTTAACAACGTTTTTTTTTTTAATAGAATTAGTTCAGAAGGGGTTAATGAAGTTCTATATACACCTGAACTTCATTAACCCCTTCTGAACATGTGAAGGAGAGAGAAAGGAAAGAAGGATGCTATTCTGTAAATATTCTATTGTAATCCTATAAGTTTTGATTTTGGTGTTTGGTGTTTTTTCTCTTTTATTATTATTATTATTAGTTTAAAATCAATTACTATTTCTTTGCAAGAAATGCAGTATATTAATATCATTTTAAAAGGACTTATTTTTACAAGATGTATTAAATATTTTCATTAATAGAAGGAATATTTTTTGTTTGAGATTGGGATAAATTTTTAAAAATCTAATTGAAATACTTATTTTTTTGGATGCTTTGTTTGGTGGTTTTTTATACATATTATTTTAGTATTTATTATTTTTGTAAAATTATTATATTTAAGTTAAAGAAAAAATTCCATATTATTTTAGATATTTTAATTTTAATTTTTTAAAAAACACATCTTTTTTAAAACATGCCTTTTCATTCTAATATTGAATAACCATATTATTTTTTGATTTTATTAATATTTTGGATATAACTGATGGTTCTTGCATTAATATTTATTAATGCTTCTTTGTAATATGATTCTTTTATTTTATTATCTATGTATATGGATCATTTTTATTCTTTTATATTGCTTTGAAAATTTGATATACAATTTCTATTTGTGCTTAGAATTGTTATTAAATAAATTAAATGTGGTCTGTGTTATACTTATCATTTTTGTTATTGTGTAAAGCATATTACATGCCTAAAATATAAATTTAAAACATCACACATTCTATTATATGAAAAAATACAACCAATATATACTTAAATAGTGCAATGAATTGTTTTTGTTTACACACTAATATATTTACCTATGTAAGCAATAAAATATTTATAGTATTAATTATAAAAGAAAGTAAATAAAAAATATATTATTTAAAAAATAAAATTTGATTAAATCAAGTATAATATTTGGTTATAGAAAAATTATAGTACATATTTTTAAAATATAAAAATTATAGAATACTATTTTTAATTATAATTTCATCTAAAATAATATTATTTATTAAAATATTCATATATATATATATATATATATATATATGCACATACAACACACACACACACACACACACACACACACACATATATATATATATATACACATACAATACACACACATATATATATACATATATTTGTACTATATTAATATTGTAGATATTTATCAAATGAATTGGTTACCCAATTTATTTGGCAACAATGTCAAACTC